CTACCATCTAAACACGTATGTACAACGTTATATACCAACATTCACCAACTGCCGTCGACATTTACATAAAAATAATTAAACTCCTGTCATAGCGAACTGTTACTCCGTCCTGTTTAAAAAAGATATTCTGGATGCCATCGCTGGAGATGCCCATTCATTATTTTTACACTATTACACTATTTTTTTATTGTTTATTGGCATGCGGGGATCAATTATTTTATTGTAATGAGAGATATTTTTTAATTGAATTATTCACTCCTGTATTTGTTTCATAAAAAATATAATACGGGATTATTATTATTATTAAGTATATATATGTACATATATATATATAAATTTGAGGGTCTTGTGTGAATATGGAAGAGATCGGGAATAATATATATGTAATTATAATCATGTATTATATTTTTTATAAAAATACATGGATAATTCTGAATAATTAAATAAGTGATTCCCCGTAAATGTCAATAAATAATAAAAAAATTGTGTAAAAATATTAAATGGGTATCTCCAGCGATGGCATCCAGAATATCTTTTTTCAACTTGTTGATTGTTGTTATATATGTTTTTCAAGTAATTTTGTCGCGTGGAAAAAAATTAATTGACGAACCGTTGAATTATATTTTATATAATCAATAGGTGAATCAGAAATCAATCTTATGTATAACTATGTACTAGATCCGCATTCCTAGATAATTAACTTCACCTCAACGCAAGAGTAAAATTGAAATAGCGGAATAATGGAGTCTTGCTCATCAGTTTCCGTTTTTAAATTCTTCGCATTGAGACACAATTTTTTTGTTGTAATTATCGAGAGAAAGAATGAATGAGGAAAAAAATTCAAGGTTCTTGTGTAAACGTGGAAGAGATCGGGAATAATTGAGGGCCGGATGATTCAGTTAGGAATGAATAAATAAAAAAAAATGATTGTAAGTGATTTTGGGGGGAATCATTTGGTTATTGAAATCGTATGACTGACTGATTTCCTATGAATTTTGATTATTTCAGACGATTTCATGTGATTTCTCATGATTTTATGGGATTTCAAATGATTTCGAGTGATTTCCTATGATTTGAAATGATTTCAGATGATTTCGCGATTGATTTCATGTGATTTCTCATGATTTTATGGGATTTCAGATGATTTCAGGTGAATTTCCTTGATTTGAAATGATTTCTCATGATTTTATAGGATTTTAGATGATTTCCGGTAATTTCCCATGGTTTTAAATGATTTCAGATGATTTCGCGGTTGGTTTCATATGATTTCTCATGATTTTATGGGATTTCAGATGATTTCCCACGATTTAAAATAATTTTAGATGATTTGGCGATTGATTTCATATGATTTCTCATGATTTTATGGGATTTCAGATGTTTTTTGATGATGTCCCATGATTTGAAATGATTTCTCATGATTTTATAGGATTTCAGATGATTTCCGGTAATTTCCCATGATTTTAAATGACTTCAGATGATTTCGCGATTGATTTCATATGATTTCTCATGATTTTATGGGATTTCGGATGATTTCCCACGATTTATAATAATTTTAGATGATTTGGCTATTGATTTCACGTGATCTCAGGTGATTTCCGATGATTTCGAATGATTTCACGTGATCTTGGGACTGATTTCATGTGATTTTCCATGATCTTTTATGATCCCGGATGATTTCAAATGATTTCAGGTGATTACCCATGATTTCAAATGATGTCAGGTGATTTCCCATGATTTCAAATGATTTCACATGATCTCGGGACTGATTTCATGTGACTCCATGTGGTTTTCCATGATTTCATATAATTTTCCAAGACTTAAAATAATTTCCGATGATTTCTGATTATTTCCAATGATTTTACATAATTTCGGGATTGATTTCGAGTGACCAATGATTTCACTGACCAATCCCTCAACCACATCAAGTTCCACCCCTCAAGGCCCATGTACTCCACCAGAGTAACCACCCGGAAACGGTAAAAATGACTGGTAAATAGAGTCCCTGCCACCGGAAAAATCCCTGAAGATTGGTTGAAAGGACTGACGAAAAAAAAAAAGAAAAAAATAAATAAAGAAGAATTGAATTGAATGGATATGAAGAGGTTGGAGATTGGTTGAAGGGAGAGCGTATCAAGAAGCCAAAATGATGAGGAGAATGATGGCGATGGGGTACACACAAAGCGCATCTCCTTCCGGCGATATTTTTTTTCATTTCCATGACGTCACGCTAAGGCTTTCATACGATACACCGTACAATGCATTGAGAAGGGGATGGAAAAGCCTCAGAAAAAAAAAAATGAGTCGAGAAAATATGAGAAATCTCCTGAGGGGATTCCCAGTTATATAACTATTGGGATCAGTGATTCTTTGTGGAAAAAAATGGAGGGGAAATTTCATTCAAAATTGAATATCTACTTTTTATTTTTTTTTTTTTAATTGCGAAATACCTTTTGCCGGGTGTAAATGCTATTGGGAATTTCCGAGATTTTACACTATTCATATTTACACCTCTCAATCTCTTCAATCAAGTCTGATTAATAATTCATGGTTTATTCCCATTTGATTTCACTGGCTCCAGTGAATGTGAGTGAGAAATGCAAACAGAATAGGATGAGTTGTTATCTACTGGTGCGATTCAATTGATAATGAATATTGATCTTCATTTTCAAGAGTAAATTTTACTGAATTTTCGAGATAATCGAAAAATTGAGAAATCGATTTTTTCACTAGGAGATTATTATCAATAATTATATCATCATTAATGATTAATATTACGATGGTATAAATATCAATTGAATATTTAATTTGAAAATTATCGTGGAAAAGGGAAAATTGAAAATTTCGAATTTATTTTTTGTTAATGTATAAATTAATATTCCGTATTAGTATAAATAATTTTGCACGTAACCGGAAGTCCCGTGGGTGAATGTGCAATTATTCGGATGAATATGTGATTATCGGTTTTTGAAGTTGCAGGGGTTTGTATTTTGGTATATATGTACAGTTTATGTACCTTTTTTGGGCGGGGAGAATAGGAATGCCAATGAAATTCAAAGTTTTCACGGACTTTTGCGACACACGAATGCGTCGCGGGGTAAATACATTTGATACACTCGTGATCAAAGGCGGAATAACTTTTCAGGTCCCCCATGGATCAAACAGGGTAAATTGACTGCATTTCCAGGTCTGCAATAAAAAATTATGGGAGTCCCGAAGAGGAAAATAAATCCACAATTTCAATTGGAAATATTTATCATTTTTTTGAATTGCCAATTTTAGAAATATTTTGGAAAAATTACGGAACTTTCAGGTCACTTATCGATTACGGAATCGATTTAAAAAATTTAAGTGACGGTGTTGTAATTTTTCATCGATAATTCAGGTAAAAATTACGGAGAACTGCAGAAAAATTCCGTCACTTTAGGTAAAAATTACGTGACAGTTCCGGTAAATTTCCGACAACCAGAATTCGGTACGGAATTACGGAAAAGACAAGGAATTTTTATTGAGTATTTCTCTCAGTGTATCGGCTGGAATTTTTACGGAAAAAATAACCCGGTAATTTCGAAACTCTCGTGCTATTATGCGTGATTATTATTGTTATCATTTTATTATCGACGGAGTCGATTCGAAATATTTAAGTGACGGTGTTGTAATTTTTCATCGATAATTCCGGTAAAAATTACGGAGAACCGCAGAAAAATTCCGTCATTTTAGGTAAAAATTACGTGACAGTACCGGTAAATTTCCGACAACCAGAATTCGCTCCAGAATTACGGAAAAGACAAGGAATTTTTATTGAGTATTTCTCTCAGTGTATCGGCTGGAATTTTCACGGAAAAAATAACCCAGTAATTTCGAAACTCTCGTGCTATCATGCGTGATTATTATTGTTATCATTTTATTGTTCTGTCAAATTTTTAGGAAGAAGTACGACAAAAAGTTTTCGGGGAATGTGAAAAAAGTGCAGGACAAACCAGAGGGATTAGATGGAAAATGCGAATCCAGTTGAATTTTTTTCGGTTACTGTCAAACTGTCACAACGAGTTACACTCGCGTGGCTAGTTACATGTCAAGTATTTTTATTTGTTTATTTTTTTTTCAGGGGTATTTGTCGGGGTGGAAGACTCGGGACGTGTTCAACCCCCCGAGGCCACTCAACGCCACGCGCAAAAACAAATAAACCCACGGAGATGTCCACGGATATTTTGTCACTTTGTTTTCCTTTTCCTCGTAATGTTTTGGAAAACCATTCGTTGGACTGACATGTGAATGTGTAACTGTCAAGTCTCGTACAGGCGTCAAGATTTTTTTAAAGGAAGAGGTAATGTACGAATTACAATTACAATTAATGAAATTATAGTGTTGGATTGTATGCGATAAAAATAATTTTTATGGAATACAGTTTTTACTGGATTAATAAAAATCGTTTTTTCGTCATTATGTACCGAAAAGTAATTTTTCGGGTACCTGGAAAGTAACTTTCCCGCACTTGTTACGAAATGTACGGATTCTGCACGTGTTGCGAATATTTTTCTTCACAGTGTGCGGGAAAGACACTTTTTTTAACTGAAAAGTTACTTTCCCGCACATCCTGAGGAAAAATAAATTATTGGATACTCTCTTTACATTTCTAAGAAATATATAAATACGTAAAGTATCACTTTACACACAAGTGTCGAAAATATAAAAATTCCCCTAAATTCTGAATTCCACCCAAAATTTCCAAATTCCTTCAAAACGAAAACCCATAATTAAATAATTAACATAATTAAAATTGTATAATTAATCTCACTTGTAAAATCCAATATTTTCAAAACTCGTGAGGACATCTTTAATACTTCTCTCTTACGCGTTTCCAGTCGGTAATTTACCCGCCCACTGTAAATCGAACTGCAATTTACAATGAACAATTGTCGGTACTGAAGAAATATTTTTAGACCGATTGGATTTCAATTTTCATCGGGGTAACAATGATTTCTGTGTGATTACACACTGCCTCGCGTATTCTCACTGGCAAAAGTTCCCTCATCTTTTTTCCCCCGTGGGTGTGCGACAACTCGATCAAGTTGCACACGAAAATTACAAAAAAAAATAAATAAATAGAGAAAAAAAAAGATTTAACATCGGGGGAGCTAAATTACTGTATTTTTGGCCACTCTCTTGTGTGACTCTGAGGACGAGGGGAATTTTATTTTTCGCACAATGTCAACTGTTGATGAAGTTTTCGAGACATGGGAGGAGATGGAAGCGTCTGGTGTACGTAAATTAATTCTACCATTTTTTTCCATTCGTCTTAATCGTTCACATAACCTCAATCGAGAAATTATTATTCATCCTCTCATTGAATTATCACTGGAGAACCATCTCATATATCTCGAATTATTTTATCACTCCAAATTCAATCGATTTATTTTTATTCTCTAATCGATGATAAATGACATTTGCAACAGCAACGGTTTCGCATTAAAAATTTAATAAATTCTATTCTCTACTTGTCGGATTAGACTAGGAGAAAGTTGAGGCTCACTGTGGACTTTCTAATAATAATTCACATCAATCACTCCAAAAATTTAATAAATCACTCAATACATCATGGATAAATCAATGCAATAAATTCTTCGAGAACAAATTTTTGGAATGAAAATTCAAATTATGGGATTGATTAATGAACAAATGGAATTCATTAACCAATCTGCTGGATTTTCGTAGAGATTCTGGAGTTCTGCTCCGAGATTGCAATGACCTATATTTTTTTGCAAACAAAATTGTCAGGAATAAATTAATAACTAATTCCCGTAATCAACTCTTGAAGTGAAAAAAATATTCGGACATTCTCCTGGTGATAAAAAAATGTATGACTCATTATTTTCTTGTAGAAGAGGTGAATAGGGGTCGATGACCAATACCTTTTGCATCCGATAATTCAACTTTTTAGTAAAGAATAGATAATCCTAATGTTAACTAAATAAATAAAAAAATTCTGATGATTTTCCACTCAATTTTACGTTTAAAATTTCATTCAAATATGAATGGAGTGTTAATTTATTATTTATATAATACCATAAATATTTAATCCAAATGTTATTTTATTCGATATAATTTCAGGCACTTGACAGAAAACTGAATGCTCTCCAGCTAGACCCTCTGGACTCTCTAGAGCACAGACAAACACCAACGTACGTTAATTAATGAATAATTAATCCCCACTTGCAGTAATTACCCTGGAATATTTAAAAATCCACAGATTGGTGAGCAATAGGAATACTAACGGCCAGATGATAATCCTAGGCGAAGATGGAGTTCGCTCTCAATACGTTCCACCAAAACCAACGGTTAAAATCCTAAAACGGCCTCAAAGGGACACAAGAGGCAATGGGGAAGGTGCCTTAACTAATGGGGATAAGCCAAAGCAACCAATTAAATCCTTAAAACAAGTAAATAATCACTACTTCAATTACACTCGATCTTACTCTCAAAATTCCATACGTCGAATTTTCTTCGAGTCCAGTTTTTCCTGAATATCTCGGGATTCAAGCTAGATACCGAAATTTTCATATAGACCTTTCTTGTACCTCTCGTTCTGCTCGATAAATAATGTGATAATAAAAAAATCGCTATATCTGTTTGACTCCGAGATATTTCGTGATGCAGATTTATTTTATAACATTCATGATTTATTTTATAACATTTTTTTTCCAGAGGGAACAAGAGTACGCAGAGGCTCGTAAAAGAATACTAGGTGAGGAGAGGAGTCCTGAGGAGAAGCCATCGAACGAGATAAACAAAATTCAATCTAAATTGTTGCCTGACAATCCCCCAATTTCCATCCACAACACGACGAATGTCATTCGAATGCCTCTGGGCCCTGATGGCACTCCTGGATTCAACGTACGAAGGTAGCAAGGCTGACGCATCATCTTATTATGAAAAATTAATAACAAAAAAAAAAAACAAACAAAATCTTCATGTTCTCCATAATTGAACGGAGATAATCGGCTATGAGGCCGTCAGTGAGCAGCTGAGAACAATTATGTCCCTGCGTCAGTATCTCTGAGGATTCTTCATCTTCAGAGTCAGACCTGAAGAGTTGATAAAAATCGGCGACACCTCTTCAATGCCGGGATAAATGAATTTAAAAAATCCATTTAACACCCCGAAAATCGCCAAGTGACATTTTGTACCTCGATCATACTGTTCATTGCCATCTGATTTATTTATTTTTATTATTTGAAAAATTTAACGTCACGCAATCTCTGGATCATAGTAATTTGTGATATATTGATCAGTGAATTTGAAAAATAAAATGGATAAATGTTGAATGACCCCTTTTGGGGCCTCATCGCTATTTAAAATAACTATCATTCTTCGATTTTCTTGTTTTCATATTAAGGTGATTAAGAATCATTATGAAGATTAAAATAACGTCATCTGTATATAATTTCTTTGACGATGTAATAAAGTATTGGTTTTCGTTATGACAATATTTTTTATTCTACACTTACAGGGTAATTTTTATTTTCTGCGGTATGAATGCTTTTTGTTCTTTGTATGTTTACCTGAAATTTAGCCGACTGTAGAACAAGCGGAAGGGGTAAGCCCCATCTTGTGGAATTTTAAATGAAAAAAATTATTCAATGTATTGAATAATAATACTAATAATAAAATCATACTAATGAAATTATAATTTTATAATGAACGCGTTGTCCAGTTGGCAGCCTGCTCGCCTGTTACGTGGGCGGCTAGGGTTCGATCCCAGAAGAAAATAATATTCACCTAGTTGACTGGTCTCTCTGACAGGTGGACTGCTACTGAGGCAGTTACCGAGTTGACAGCCACCCCCATTGCGTGTGGCGCCCTCCCTCTCCAGGGGTGCAATACTACGATGACACTGGGTTCACTCAAACCCCCAGAACTGATCCTCTACTTTAGTCAATCCTCTTTGGATACACAAGTGCGTTATTCTGTTTTCATGTCCGTAAAGATGAAAACTCTAATGAATAAAATGTATAAACACCAATGAACAGTGGAATTCCGACAATTGTTTGAATGGAATCATCAACGATGGGTGAGACTGGGGGACCAATTCTTCATGTCATTGTCGTTGGATTTCATCACAAGAAGGGCTGTCAAGTGAGTTATCACGGTTCATCAGCTTTTTCTTCATCACTGTCACAATTAACGCCTACTTTTACTCCAAAAACTCTGATTTCCTCTCTCATAATTTCGCACTTAATTGATGCCTTCAATTATATCACAGCTGACGAGCACTCGAATGTCATACACATATTTCTTCATCGTCTACTATATTTATCTTTAGTCATCAGATTTTCCGATATCCTATATTTCTTCCTGATTTTTTCTCGTGAAACTGCTGATTTTTTTAAAAATCCCACGAAGGAAGTTCTCGGAAAAATTCTCGTCTAGTCTTCCTTTATTATTTATTATTTGTTTATCTATTTTTTCAATAAATTAATTATCGATTTTGAGAAATGATTTTTTTTGTCAATACCTACAGTTTTAATAAAGAATTGTTAATTGTTCTCAGGTGGAGTATTCGTTTCCACCGCTAGTTCCAGGGTCACCGAACGAGTGTCCAATTGGTTGGAAATACCTTCCAACCCTTGCCCTGCCAGATGGATCTCACAATTACGACGAGGACACAGTGTATTTCCATTTGCCCAGCATCACACACCCCAACAAAACAGTCTACGGTGTCTCATGTTTCCGCCAGATACCAGTCGAGGTGAGTCATTGTCCCCTGATAATTTATCTGAAAGCACAAAAAAAAAGACTGACGCCTAACGGATTAAGATTACGACTTTCCACAATTTCATTTACCACTAAATCTGAATTATCAATCTGAATAATTGAACTACCGCTGATTTATCATTGCAGAAGCTGAAGAATCGTACGTCAGACATAACTAGAGGGACAGTTCAAAAATCGGTCTGTGTTCTGAGTATATTACCTCTTTATGGACACATTCAGGTGAAAATGTCTCTAATTACTCACGCGTATTTTGAGGAAGGAGATTTCAGTAAAGTCTCGCTGCTGGAGGACACCTTTCGACACTTAAACGCCTGCATGAGAGGCGACAGTCAAATTCCACCACAAGTATTCGTTGGATTATCAGCGAGAGATTTTATCCTCCAATTTCGTCATAAAGCTCTACTCCTGTTTAAACTTCTGCTCCTAGAAAAAAAAGTTGTGTTTTATCAATCACCAGTGCAGCCACTGTGTGCAGCAATCCTGACTCTTCTCTCTCTTCATCCTGGTATGATTGAAACAGGTCTGACAAGAGCTGCATGCGTCAAACCATCTCGTCCAATGTCTCCAATTCCGACATTCGAGAGTGAAGAGGATGCCCTTAACTCGAATGAAAACGATAAAAATCAAGATAATGATGACAAATCCAATGGAACTGATAATCAATCACTGACGAATGACAATAAAACTCTGGAGACGATGGAGAGAGACAATGGAAAGTCACGTAACTCAATAAACTCAAAATTGTCGAGAAAAACGAGTGATGAGACTGGAAATCTTCAGTCTGTTGAGGTGATAGAAGTGGAATCGACGAGTGAGGGAACAGATTTTAACAGGCAATCGACTATTGGTGAGGATAATTCCATGAAGGGACAGGAGAATGTTCATCGTGTGCTGAGTACAAATAATGTTAATTTCGGAATGGGAGAGAATGGAGTATTGCCCAGGGACACGAGTAGTGATGCACTCTCGGAGGCAAAGGTCACGTCGAATATCACGCAGATAGCGCATATTAATCCAGAGGAGTGTGGATTACCAATGAATCTCTTCACCGAGGGATATTTGTGCTTGCCATACCTCTCTCTACCTTATCTCGATCTTTTAGGTGATACCAATGTTCGTGGGTACATCGTTGGTGCTACGAATATTCTGTTTAAGCAGAAAAAGCAACTCATCGATGTATTGATTGAAGTGGAGAGTGGGAGAATTGAGGCTACGGATCCTGAATTGAGACGATTACTTCATTTGACGACTGAGGATCTCAGATTCGCTGATTATGTTGTAAGGCATGTGGCTGAGCCACGCAAGGACGTTTTTTTGGATGGGGTTGGGTGGGAGGGGGGTGACGAGTGGATTAGGACACAATTTCGAGTTTATCTGTTGAGTTTGTTGAGAACTTCTATTCAACAGGATACGAGACAGTGTGATCATTTTAATGGGGCCTTCATGGCTGCTTGGAAGGCGACGAATAATTATCAGATGTGGGAAAATTCAGGGAAGAATGAGATTCATTCTGTGGAACCTGGACATCCCTTTGCTGGTCAGCTCTCTGTTCAGGACATGAAACTCAGATTATCACAGTAAGGATAATTATGAAATAATAATTTTCATTCGATCCCTCGCGGTTTTTGTTTTCTTTGCCATTTGATTTATCGAAATATATCCTGAATCAGGGGAGGTAGCGAAATTTCACCTGAATGTTTTTTGTAGAATCAATTGAGACCTACGAAAAAGGTCGTTATAGAAATTTCAGTATCTCTCTTAATTTCGAAGATATTTCGAAAAAAGTGATTCAAATTCATTCGTATCGTTGGATTACTTGACTGATAAAATAATCTTCTCGTTTATTTACCATAAAAATCAATTACCGAGAAATTGTTGTTCCAGTACAATGCAAAACACGGAATCAGGTCGAAAAATAAATCAGGCGATGGCAACGACCGGAAGAGCAGTGGCCACGACAGGAAAAGCCGTTGGTAAATATAATCAAAACAAATGTTAATCTTTACTAAATACAATGTGAAATCAATCAGTAAATAATTATACATTTTTCACCTTTGAGAGGATAATTTAATTACGAATAATTGGCTATTTAATTGCAGAGGTGATTTAATTGCTTATTCAATCGAATTTATCAGGGGGAGCTCTCTCTCAAGCCAAGGGTGCCTTTACGACGTGGTGGAGCACCCTGACGACAGTTCAACCCCTGGACATGGAAGGCAGACCCGAAAATTCTCCACAAAATAATCCACAGAGTGACGACAGTGCTGACGAACATAAATGTAATGAGAATCAAATTCCAATCGTTTCCACTGATTTGAAATCGTCTGACGGCGTTGGTACACCAGTCGTTGTCGATTAAATATCGGAAAATCCACAAAAGACAAGGAAATTCTCATAGAAGATTAAAGTCAGAAGAGATTTGTGAGTGGGGTAGAGAGATAAATTAGATAATTAAGAAAAATATTGATTTTATCGATCTTGAGGGGAATCCCATTATTTTTTCTTGAATATATTCAATGCTGTATTTTTTTTTATTATAAATATTGCAGAAAACGTATGGAGATTTCATTTTTGTTACGATTGTTTAGATTCTTGGAGTTTAATATTTTTTTAACTTCTTGATTTACGAATCTAAATTATTGTGTTTAAAGAAGAGTTACCAGGAAGATATTCATCTCTTTACTCCACTCAGTCTTTTATTAGTAGTGAAGTTCAAAAAAAAGATAACTCCAAAATGGCTGGCAGATTATTTACCGAATATTTAAGAATCTTGAGGACTTGGAGTTATTTGTCAGATGATTTTTAGTGGAGAATGAAATTTGAATTTTTCCACAGAGAAAAATGTCTTCTCGTCGGTCCACTTGCTTCTAAAATATTCGCAAACAATCGGCCTAAAAGTTATCACCTCACCTTTTGTTCTTCAGTCTTAATTGCCATTTATATAAATTATTATTGTATTTACCATTGTGATTGGTAGTGTACCTTAATGTAAACGAAATTGCTTTAAATTTTGCTATTCAGTGAACCTGAAAATCGTTGTCATACGTAGTTTGTAAACGTAGAGTGTTATTATTGTGCTTTAAAAATATTATTCCCTCTCCCATATCCCAAATTTATTATTTACAGATCCATCCCTTATTTATCCCCCACACGAAAGTTGTACATTTTTTTTCTTAATTATAACTATTTGATAAATATAATTTTTGTTACCTCAAAAAAACTGACGAATAAATGTTGAAAAAAAAAAAAATACTCTCCAACAATTTAATCATTCAAACTCCAAAATTAATTTATAAAATGTTTTCCTAAATTAACTTTACCTTCCCCTCCCTTCAGGGCTGATCAAAAACAATAAAAAAAATTGGAATAACAATAAAAATTTCTCTATCTCCCCAAAATTTTCGCATTTCATCTAAAAATTCAATGAATTTTTTCCCTCGATAGGTAAACAAAAAAATTTCAATTCATCGATTTATTTTCAATATCACGAGTGCCGAAAAATGGCAAGAAAAAAACAAATTTATCAAATTTGGAATTTCTCGTGTGCCTCCCCTCCCCTCAGCCGAACCCTCCCCCCTCCCCTTGGCCTCGGAACATCACGAATCTCTTCGGAAGAACCCCCTGAATCAAGGGGGCACCGTAGTACGCTCGACGGTATGTAACTGTCGTCACACGTTTCACCGTGAACGTAAAAACGCGTTAAAAATCCCAAAAAACCTTTAAAAAAAAATATACCCCCATTTTTTTACCCCGATAAAGCCCAATCCACCCCTCACCCCCCAGTCAATCAGAAGTACAACCCCCAGTAACCACTAATTTGTTGAAAAAAAAATGTGAATAGTCGGTGCTCCGAGTGGTGTAACAACTGAAATTTTCTTTGTGAATGAAAGTTGTGAAAAATCACTGGAAAATGACAGAAAATGGTTGATAAATAATCGTGCTGTTGACGCTTGTGACAAATCGAGTGGAAAATTATCGATGGATTAAATGACGTACGTGAACTCCTGGGATTATTAAAAATCAGGAACAATAATGGATAAACCCTGATGATCTGACGAGTACCTAAAGAGGGATTGAAATAATTTAGTGTTACACATCGGTGTGTATAGAAGGCGTTGCAGCAGTTGGAAGACCAAGAGCAACGTCCCAAAGTGTTCGTAAACGTCTCACCTACATTAAAAAAAAATTCTCATTTTATAATTTACAAATGACAAGGACAGAGGTACCATAAACATCATAATCCCGTAAATAACGATAAAATAATAAAAATTGATAAATAAAAACTAGTGAATGGTGACGATAATCATTAGTCGAGAGGAAAATAAATTTCGCATCAGAGAAAATCAGGAGTCATGAATAAACAAGTCAACAATTCGTGGGATTTGGGTAAAAATCGAGGGGAGATTTAACGAAATTTTTCGAACTTTTTGGATGGCTTTCGTTCACTCTTTTTTGGGGGGGTTTTTACGGGGTTTTGGGGGGCTTTTTGGGGGCGGGGGTGAGGGAAGTGCATGGAATTCTTTGCCCTATTCTAGTCGACGTGTTGGACATACGAGTAAAGGGATAAATCGCCGACTCTAGAGCGGGCGGTGGCGGCCATCTTCTAGATCAAGACCACCTTTTCGCTTTTTTTTTTTCCAACCCACTGTTTACTCTAGATTTTCATCGATAAATTTTCACCAAAATGTGAGGGCTCAAATATCAATGGGAATATTCGGGAATTGAGTAATTGTGTCTGACAATTTTCCATTTCAAAAATTATTTTATATGGATTTGTCATGTTTTTGGAATTGACTATTTCACGCAGGGTTGTTTAGGCTTGAGATTTTTGGATCTAGTTCGGGGATAAAATTGTCTTCAGAATTTTTTGGAGCTCTGGGGGGGAGGGGATTTTTTCCGTTAATGGAGTTTTTGGCTTTTTATTTATTTGGGCGAGTTTGTGGATTTTAGTCTCACGTTCGCTGTCATTTTCTTGATTTGAAAAAAATTGTGTATTGGGTAGAAACATAACCTCAAATTAGAAACTATATTCGGGAAAATTTGGGGATAAAGTTGAGATGGACTTGATGTTGTTTTGTTTGACGTGAATTTTTTCAATGAAAATATGAGATATCATTCTGAAGGTCAGTAGGAATAATTGATAATATTTTCAAATAAAATTGCAGATGCTAATGTCCATAAAAATCTAGTGATTAAGTGAATAATACGGATTATCCCTGGTCCTGGCTCATTAATTTAACATGATTAAATTGTGGACTGGAGGATTATCACGTGAAAAAGTGATGTGTTATTATGGGATCATATCCCCAGTGGTGATATAATCGTCGTAACAACGATTGATTAATCTATTTATGAATAATAACGAAGAAGGACGAAGGAATTGTTGAGTGTGAAATAAAATTTTAATTTCAACATTAAGAAAACGAAAAAGAGAAGAAGAAAAAAAAAACAAAGTGCCAACACTGCAGATGGATAAACAGGGATGACTGACAATTGTTGGAATTCTGGTGGTGGTAAGTGTCAAAATAATAAAATCATTTTTTTATCCAATTCATCCATTCATTGAATTATTTTCTCATGCATGACGTATCAGGATCATTGAGATTCTCTCGAAGAGACAGAAGATATCATTATCTTATTTTTTATTTGTATTCTTCTATTTAATTTATCTGGAGACATCAACATTCTGGTCCAGTTAACACGAGAAAATTGAAGGAAATAATGAAGTCATGAAGAATCATTGGAAGGGCTGAAATGAAAGTTAAATGGATGGATCTGGGTTTTTTTCTTTTTTTGAGAATATTCTGTTGCACGTATCTGTTTGTAAATATTGTGGGAGTGGAATTGAAAAAATTATTTGGCATTTAATTGTTGACATGGCGGAACGCAGTGGAAAAATTGAAAGCGTTCCTAAATGCGATTCGACGCAGAATCAAGTACAATGTGGACAAGTCGTGTACTGAGACGACCTCGTGGGCGTATTAAACTTTCAAATGGGCACAGGTTTTGATCGATCAAAACTTGCAGAGTCTCCCCCTTTTGTCTGCTCATTTTCCCAATGAAAAATCCTCGATTACTCAAAATTTATCAGTCTATTGTACGAGGGATTATTTTTCTTTTGGGCTTTTGGGTTTCGACAATATTTTTCTATTGGAAAAATCACAGCCACGCCCGTTGGTGCAACAAGATTTTATTGAGATGGAATAAAAAAAATGGAGAAGGAAAAAGGAGAAAATTCGTTGGCGGACACTCAACTGTGGTTGTATTGATTTCTGGGTTAAAACGCGTATACACACGCGACATACAAAGGTCAAAGGGTCGTCAGACACCTTTAAATAGAGTTGGAATTGTTTGAGAGGGATTTAATTATTTTTTTTGGGGATCCTCCCTCTATTTTCCCAAGGGAAATTCTAGTCACAAATTTTATCAGACGTGGGACATGATTTTTTTTGGAGAATCCCTGAGTTGTCCTGAGTATTTTCATCTTCGAGATGCAGTTCTATAGAAATTTCCACTGCAGGGAAAATTACTGAAGACTGAGGAAAATGTGGGGTCATTATTCCTGGTTTTAAGAATTCTCAGGATTTATTTATCTCGTTGAGATTCAATTTTTTTATTGGAAATCCTCAGGTGATTAATGTAAGTGGAAGATTTTTGAAACGCGAATTTCCATGACGAAAAAGTCATCGATTTTTTGAAAGGAAATTCTGGTGATTGCTAAATCATCTCGATGATAAATGATTATAAAAAGCAATTCCTCTGAACCGAATCATCTGATCTAGAGCTCTGCCCACCAAATTTTTTAAATTCAATATGAAAATCTCCCAGAAATCTCAATTAACTAACAAACCCCCACCCAGATCGATTGGTTCTTCAATCTGGGACTCTCCTGAGCTGATGAGTCCCAACTCCTCCAAGAAAAATCTCAATTTCTGGTAGAAAACCTAAAAAAAAATCTAGGCAGATGATTTTCAATGCCAGAGGCTCAAATAGTCAGGATTTCCTCAGGATTTGTTTCAGGATCTTGAGGGATTCATTGAGAAATTATTGGGGAGGGATTTCTGCATGAACTTTTGGTGAATTGATAACGAAAAAATATTGAAATGAGGTACAGGGGATTGGCGTGACGCATTGGAATTGTCAGAGTCTCGACTGTAGACTATGTTTAGGTAGACTCTCCGATAACAGCCGAAAATTTTCCGAGACCAGCAAGTATCGATTTTCGAGAGTATTAGCCAGTGCCATCGCAGTCTCTCGTCTTTCTGTTCCTGTCTCTATCATTTCCTCCTGTCTCTTTCTTCTGTATCAAAGCCTCCACAGGGTTGGAATTCATCGTAGGTCTGCTTATTCTTCTGTCTCTTGTAGTCGTAGAAAATTATATCAACGGTAAAGAATTAATAAATCATTAAGGTGGCGGTCATATTTTCATAGCTATGAAAAATAATAGGGAAAACACTGGGGCTGGATGACGATTTTTTCATCTGATGGCTCCTCATCGTCATGAGGACTCAATTGTCTGTTGGAATCAATTAATTGAGTAATTGTTTCGTCAGGATTTTTTTTTTGTATTTTAATCCGTGGAATTGAATCCTGTGATGTGGAAAGAAGAGATGATTCAGTTTTGATGTCACATTTTTGGGAATATCTCAGGGATTAGGGGAGATAATGAAATTTTTGTTTGAACCTTTTTTGCAGCTCTTAGTTGACTCGACAAAAAAGATCTTATCGAAAATTTGATTATCTCTCGTGGATGCGGAGATATTTCGAAAATTCGGGGACTATTTCTGGTTGACGTGAGAGGGATTCCTGAAATTAAATGGAATTCAATTAACAATAGTAAACATTAATTGTTCAATCATTAAATTCCTGGCAATATCAATTCAAAATGTCTTCCTGGAATTCCAATATTTTTCATGTTTTTTCAAATTGTTATTAATTTATTAACCAGATTAAACAAATGAACACTCCAATTTTCAATTTAATCATTCCATCATTTTTTATAAAATTCGTCGTAAAGTTCATAAAAACATAAGAAATATGTTTTGTAGATAAAAAAAAAGCTCCATGAGTCATTAAACAATTCCAAAAATTTCACCAAAATTGCTAAATAATAATTTTAACTATTTAAACAATTTAAAACCCCAGAAATTACCAATAATTCCCTAAATCGTTTACACAATATTATCCCTCGAATTTCCAACGATCGTCCGATTACGTAATAATATAAATAATTTAAACAATCCCGTGAATAATTTGCGATAAACAAAATGGTGAAATTCCAGGAGAAGATCTTCGAAGACCAAAAAAGGGATAAACAATAAAAAAAACCGTAATAATAACCGTCACCTCAATGCAAATGAGTCAACTGGAAGTCCTGAAGTAGTTGTGTGTTTTTGCAGGCGCTGGCGTCAAGATGGAGCACTTTCAGACCACCCTGGACCCCAGGAAGCAGGAGTTACTGGAGGCCCGGTTTCTTGGAGCGAGGGTGAGCGGTTTCTCCCATATATCCTCGATCCAAAAATTATACAATTTTTCGTATTTTTTAATCATCACCAAGAGCCACTGACTCCTGGTGAATCAATAATTACCATTCGTCATCCTAAATGAAAGCAATTGCTCTGGGGGAATGGCATCTCCAGGGAGTTCTCGCCTGTTTCACCGTTTGGTTGACGGTCAGGTAGTTTCTTCTGGACCTAGGTGATTAGGGAATGGATGAGATTTTTTTTTTTCTCTTTGCTACTGGAGATGACGACTAGGTGGGGTTTTTAAACGAGGTCGTCACTGAGTCGTTCCCTCGAGCGAATCGACTTCTTCCGGTCGATCTCACTGGCTAGATCCTCAGCTGATCATCATAAATCGCTTCACTAAATTTCTCAACTATTTGGAAAACTTCTCTGGGTTTTTTTGGAATTTTTCATCATCCTGGTGGCGATTTCCATGGAATTACTCGCAGTCTCGAATTTTTTGCAATTTGGAATTTCATTCTTCAGGGAAATTTCAATTCAATCAGGAAAAGATCTCGATTTTAGGGGAACCTAGTGAATTTTTACTGCAGATTGGAATTTTAATCTGGAGAGCGAACGTTAAATTCCATTCGATTTTTTTATTGCTATATTTTTTTTAAGTCTTTACCGATTTTTTTAATTTTAAACGAAGTGGGGAGCAATTATTTACACAATTATTCCAGCAATTTTCATTGTCCCTCAATTTTTTATAACAATCCAGAAATTCTTGGAATTTTTGGAAGACAAACAATTTTTATTTCTTTGTGTTTGCATTTTGGACTGATCGTTAATTATTCAGGAGGCAATCAGTGTTCACTAGTTTTCGATGAATGAATAGTAATTTCACTCAAACATAATTAAAATCCATGAATAATTTTCAGACGCAATTGGTTCGCAATTACGAGAAATCAATTCGGAAATATCAGTTAAATAATGAACTAAAGGTTCAAGTAAAATAAATTCTCGCTGTTTGTGATATCCATTTAGAAAGTGGAATAAATTGTTGCTATTGAAAGTTGCATAAAACAGCAACAAATCTTCCAGTTCTGAAAGAATTCCTCGAAATTCCACCGGAATTTTTCAGGAATTCATACCACAAGACACTCCCACATATAAATGTACCGGAAGTGTCGCCCGAAAATTTTCCAAAGAAATTTCCGAGAATAGAGAATTTTATCTACGAGATAACAGTTTCCAGTTGAATATCTCCAAATACCGAATTTCAAACAAATTTTATCACTAGATTGAATAAGAAAATCTAAAATCCTTATCAATTCCAAATTCTTTCCCGGATTCAATTCAAATTTTGGATTTGCAGTCGAAAAGAAATTTCCAAAAACGACTCTTCCCAGAATTTTAAAACGAAAAATTCCCTGAATAATATTTATAATATAAATAAACTAATACACAAATATATAAATATTTCTTAATAACTTCCAGACAGCATCGGCTATTCCCAATAATTAATAATAATAATCCATTCCAATAATAATATAACTTCCTAAATTCCCAGAATTCAGTGTAAAAAAAAAATGGTGTGTTAATTAAAAAATTGAATAATTAATAACCACAAACGCGGATAAATTTCAAATTTGATACAAGCATCTATTATGACTCCAAAAACCGGTAAAAATTCTAAGAAATTTAAGCATCTTCCGCAATTAACGATAAATAATTTTAATCATCGAAGTAATTAAACCGGAAGACCAGCAGAGGAAGAGAATTCGATAGATCAAAGATAAAAATATAAATAATATTTTTAGTGTATTATTCCACTCTCGATTGTCTTCGTTGATAATGATTATTTGAATACCGATTATCGATCTACCTGGTGCCATCACCAGGGGATGAAAAATAATTCTGAATGTGGCAGTGAAGTGGTGCCATGTTTGACCTGCATGGCAACACTGCAGTCTGCAGTGGCTTCTGGGCATCGTTTGTGACTCTTGTGGCCAGCTAATTTCGACGCTCCACGGATATCGAGATACCCAACAACGTTAACAGGCAAGAGGTAGATGAACGGGGGGTACCACCAGGAGGTGGTGGAGGAGGAGGTGGTGGTGGAGGTGGTACAGGAAAAGGGAGTGAATAAGCTCTCTTGCTAGCCGGATCGATCGAGAATACTAGGGATAGGTGGATAGAGGACGTGAGGAGATTCTCTCTCTTTCTTATCGTCTCTTCGGGTCTCTTCGTCTCTCTTCAGCTCTCTGCATCGGACTCCTGAATTTGATGGGGCGCATGCCAGCTAACTGCCACATACCATCGTCAATTGAAAAAAATCATTTTTTCATCTTCACACTATTTTTTTATCATTTTTTTCACTATTCCACTATTTTGTAATCATAAACAAAATGAGGGAAATCCAGTTTTGAAAATCTATTTCACTTTTTTTTGGTTAAAGAGAAATTTAAATATTTTTTTCACGTTTTTGGATTCTTCGAAATTTCTTTTATGGTTTAATAATTATTAATAATAATTATACCTAATGATTTTATTGTAATTGGTAATTGGTAATTGGTAATTGGTAATTGAATTATGGAATGTTTATTCATCGTATTATTTTTGGGAGGACTGGAAAAATTCTGAGAAATTGATTTTCAAAAAATTCTTTGGTAATTTCGTGATTGTTAATTTGTAATTCCTGGGATGATTGGCATAACATAAAATTGAATTCTCGTAATCTCTGGTGATTACAGATGTATTAATTATTGAAGTTGTCGTGTGAGGACAGGGAGAGATTTGGATTTGGTCGGAGATTATTTAGGTTTTTGGGATTGGCGAGATTCCGCGGTATCTCAGCTGCACTTCCACTTGATTTCAACTTCACATCTGCGTATTTTCATGTGTGCTATGTACTTGGTGGGACAATGGATCGATGAAGAAGGGGAAAACCGAGTGGAGAGACCATTCCGACGATTTTGCTCACTTCCATGTCTCGTTACGAAAAATTCCCAGTCAAAGTTATTATTTCCATTATTTTACACAATCCAAAATCAATCGGTCAATCAATTCTATCAAAAATTGGATTCCATTCCAAATTTAATCCTCAAATCTTTAAACATCACATTTTTATTAACAATTACAATTTCATCATTCAATATCACAATAACTCTTGATTTTTAATAATATAAATAAATTTCCCTTTCATTTTGACCTCTACATGGTTTTTAATTATTTAATTTATCACGTTTGAGAGTTTAATTGAAATAAATAAATTGAAAATGTTTAAATATCAGATGTCATAAATAATTTCGGAAGTGACTGGAAATTAAATAGAAAGGGAATGAATTTTTATTGATTTCTTCAATCGTTGTCAAATTAATGAATTCATTGATGAGATTGTTTATAATAAATGGTCATTTACTCCGTTCTTGGTGCGATTAATCATGGATGAGAATGAGAACTTTTATTTTTCGATCAGTCTCCCGACATGTTTTCACTTCAAGATTTATATATAGACCAGTGGAGACACGAACAAACGTGTGGGCAACAGTTTGCCATCATATATAGAATAAAGAGAATGTACATAGTCTGAAACGAATATTCCAACGATTCGTCTATATACCGAGAATATTTCCACAGACACTTATTTTTCCTTGTCACGTACACCAGAATCTTCATTTACTTATCTTCAATGGAATCATCAATTTGCGAATGGAAATTGCTGTCATCTTCAATTTCATTTTTTTATACTAGATTTTTTGGTTCAAGGATTTTGTTGGAGGAGTTTTTTTTCCATTAATCGGAGTAATCAATTGGGAGAAATTCTTCGAGATTTTTTTACTGTTTTTATCCTTTTATTTATTTATTCTATTTATTTATTTAATACATGGATTTTACAGTGAGGGGAAGGCATCGACTGAATCTGATTTATGAAATCAGATTTTGGATTTTACTGGCAAAATATTTGTTTATCCGTGGAATTTTGAAAATTGACACGAATGTTGATTGATTAATTAATTTATTATGGAAATTTAACAAAAATAATTAATTCCTGGAATTCCCTTGATTCTCTTGAAGTCGTGGAATTTCATTGTGAATGAAGGGCATTGACCTTGAATCTCATTCAAGGTAAATAGTATATTTCGTAACAAGTGCGGAAAAGTGATTTTTGACGGGTGAGAAGTTTATGGCACGGGCTGAAGGCGAGTGTATAATCCCACATGCCAAGAAGAACTTTCCGCACGAGTTGCGAATGATCTTTTTCTTCACAGGGTGCGGAAAAGTGACTTTTCGCCACGTAGTGATGAAAATACTCATATTTACTGATAATTAAAGAATTACAATTTGTAATTTGATAGTAAATATCGATTTTTAAGTGTCAATCTACAGAAATTAATGAACTCTTGTCTCTGGCTCTTGAAATTCGTAATTTTTGATTTAAAGGGGAGGAATGGAGTTGGTTGAATGGAATTTTTGGGAAAAAATATGGAATTGAGTGATAGTCTGACAGCCGAAGGGCAAGTGATGGTAGCCGGGTTGTGGCATGAATCCGTGGGGTTTATCGATTTTTCGTTGCACAGGGGCACTCCTCGTTGGTGTTGGAGGTAGAATAAGATTGGCCCATTGGGTTAGACGCAAGGGTTTCAACAGTCGTTGCAAAAGAGGAAAATTGTCGTGACTGGTGACTAAAGGGGATCGATCACAGGAGGTGAATCGCGCCGTCGCCCAGAGTCTCTGCATTTTTCATTTCAAAATTATTATTTTTTTTTCTTCTCAATTCAATGTCATCATTCGTTCAGGGGGGTGGCTAGGGGGTGGAGGAGGATTTCGCGGGCAGGTGGCGCCGCTTCAGAGGCATTTGTTGCTCCCGCCCCTCATTAAATTATTCATCATTTTTACAACAATGTCTCAATGATAAAATAATCCCCAGTCTGTCATTATTATTTATTTATTATTATTTTCATTATGAAAAAGGCGGAAAAATTGGAAGGTCCAAATGTTTAATATCAAAGGGGCGTATCTCCAGAATATCATCTATCGCCCTCGGATTTTATCTTTCCTGAAATTAATTAATAACAATAATAAAATTATGGAGATTATTTGCAAAAGGGCGTAAATATCTTTTGCAGTTATTTATAATAATTAAATAAAAATTTATAATTATTTATAAATTGAATTTCGAGACGTATCAGGTGATTTCCCTAGGGCAGTTGATCCTGAATTATTTTTCATTATTTAATTATTTAAAAAAATAACACGAATTGTTATTGAATTATAATTTAATGTTTAATTTAAGAATATCGTGAAGATAATGAAAAATCAATAGAATTTGTTTAAAAAAAATGGAAAAATTCGTGAATAGCAGACCCCAGGGGCTGTCCCGCTAACCCTGGGGGCAGTGAACTCTCATTTTTTTCACGATTGATTTATTTTCAATGAATGATGAGAATGATTATTGAAATTTTAGGGTGGTCGTAACAACGGTCCGAGTAAAAATGCGGTGGACAGCGCGCAGTCGTCGGTACCTAGCGCGGTTAAGTGCGGACAACCCACTACCCCGGGAATAGACTGGACAAGGCGCGACAATGCCCCACCCTCCCGTGATCAACGTAACTCTTCCTCGAGCACAACTGCCCACGGCCAACTATCTCAGGTAGCCTGTCCTCTAATAATCATCAACAGATCCACTATCTCCACTGCTTCCACTGCTTCCACTGCTTCCATCATTTCCATCATTTCCATCATTTCCATAATCTCCATAATCTCCATAATCTCCATCATCTCCATCATCTCCATCATCTCCATGGCTTCCACCACCTCCACCACCTCCACCACCTCCATCATCTCCATCATCTCCATCATCTCCATCGTTTCCATCGTTTCCATCATCTCCATCATCACCATCCTCTCCATCATCTCCATCCTCTCCACCATCATTCAGAGACCACCTCCCCTATCTGTCTCTCACTGCGAGAGCGAAATAATTCATCAGGAGACTTCACTATTTATTTTTTAATGAGAGAATATTTACTTTATCACAAGTTGTCCCGGATAAGTCTCTCGATAGATCTCCATAATTATGAGTCATTAATGATATCATTCTGGGTGATGTTGGGATATTTTTGGGGTCCCTTCAAGCTCTAAATATTTTATTTCCAACTGAAACCAGTGGAATACCTCATTTTCCACATTTTCTAGTCACTTTCCTAGTTTTTATTTCATCCCATCTCCAATTTTGGAAAACGAGAATTTCTGTGTTAATTCCTGAGATAATTCGAGCCTCTAAAATTGAATTACAAGTCGCAATCATAATTTTACCAATAGTTAATTAAAAATTACATAAATCATAATTTTTAACTTCATAAAATAATTGACAGATTAATGCCACCAACAATTCGCGTCTCATAAATCGAATTACAAGTAAAAACGATAATTTTATAAATAATTAATTGAAAATTGCGTTAATTACAGTTTTAGATTTTTCAAAATAATTTCTGGACTGGTATGTAGTACAATAATTCGAGTCTCGTGAGGTTTGAGTGTGATAAAAGATTGGAATTAATTTTCTATTTTTAGATCAATATGAAGAGTCTCTTGTAGGGAGAGGGGAGAGACTCAATGTCTCAAAAGCGAGTCAATAGTTGCGTTGTAACCCGAGAAAACAAATTATTATAGTTGCGATACATAATGGATAACTATGAATTTTCGTTGAGTTCGCGTATCTGAGTGGCGCCACCGATGCATAAACTAGGAAATTATTTCCGACAACTTGAGCTCCACCTGTCGACTTTTCTTTATTATTTATTCCATCAACATTCCATTATTTATTATCGTAATTAACAAATTTATCGTGCATCTCTCTCTCACATTTTTGGAGATTTATTATTTATCATTTATTTACCATTTGTTTATTTTTATTTCGTCTGTCTCTCTCGCGAGGTCAAAGAAGATTTGATAACCACTTGACCTGTCCCCTCATCTGTTATCAATAATTGAATAATCAGAAAAAGTTTAATATGAATTTTATGGAATTTAGCAGTTGAATGTGAGTGTCAGGATTTTTTAAATCACTTCAATTATTCATTAGATTATTATGAATTATTTTAACTTCATTTTATTATAGATATTTTATATTCCATTCGCGAATACAGAGAGAAAATTATTCATATCGTTTTTAAATTTTCTCACCCTAAAATCAGTCACTCAATTTTTTTTCAAAATCGCGAATTTTATTTCAAATTCAATTCCATTTTTTTCTATTAAAAAATTCCAAAAATAGAGTTGAAGGATTTAATTTAAACTTAAAGAATAAATCTGGCATTCTTATCCACACCATTAATGAATTAATTATCTCATTAATTAATTAATCAATATTAAATATAAATTGGAATTTCTGTATTAAATCTCCCCATATCGAGCGAAATAAAAATAAAAATCAATAAATTTTTTAATATTTTCCCGCGAAAATTCCGTGCATTGATTTGCCAATGCCAATTTACTCGGGAATAATAAAAAAAAAGTGATGAGGAGTTTTGAATGGATGGATTGGAAATAAAAAAGAACTAATGACGCACGGAGTTTTGAAGGTGGCGTCTACAACGAGTGTTACTATGTTTTACGACCAGCTGATCGTGGTAGCCGGTTAAAGTGGTAGATAGTGGGGGGTAAATGGCGCGCGCGACTGGGGTAATGAGTGTACGACCTATTGCCACCACCAGGGTACCACCAGGGTACCACCAGTACTCCACGAGTACCACCAATCCATTAGTCAGACAAAAAAATTTCTCAATTCCCTTCGAATTTCAATTTTTCAATAAAACAAATTAATAACAAATACCTGAAAACCCCATTAAAAACTATTACACAATATATTTAATTTTAAATAAATATATTTTATTTTATTACATTAATAATTAATATAATATTCATTATTTTAATTATTAAACAATATAAAATGATGAAAATTTAAAATGTTGGGGAAATTTTAATGAAATGATCAGTCGATTATTTATTTATTTATTAATAATCTGTGTAGATATTCGTTGCGGGTTGTCGGGTAATTTGTTAATTAATTGGATTGATGATTTTTTTTTATGGAAATTGATTTTTGGGGGTTTTTCTTTTGAGTGGTCATCACTGACTTCTCATTTTCTCGTCTATTTTTATGCATACGATACTGTGGCGTCATGTGACGTGTACGTGGTTGAGGAAGCCGACGGTGGAGGTGGTCGACTGGTTCAAGGGAGTTACTCACGGGATTGTCCGGAGAACGTTGCACCTAGTGGCATTGGCAAGGTCTAGACTACCGTCTAACTCTACCAGTTCAACTCCGGCTATTATTTTTACAACTTATCCTCTCTATTTTTTATATCAACCACGAATTAGGATTGCGATAAATAATGCCTCGGGAATATTTATCAATTTTTAACACCCGTAGTTTCAGCGATTTCAATTTTTTTTCGTTGCGATTTTGGAAATTCTGAAAATGCGGATAATGCAAAACACGTATTGTTATAAATAATAATAACGGATTATCATTGGGATTCAATAAATAAATATTAGTATGAGATCAAAATACGAATAATAAAGAGTTATTATTATTGATGTTTTGATCATTATTGTTATCACTATTTATTGTTTTTCTACATTTTTCACTAATTGTTTAATAATTGAAGAAAATTAAAATGTTTCATAAAAATGACGTACCTTTTTCGTAATCCCAGCTAGGAATGTAGATTGAGAAAAATTCTGAAGATGAATAACAGATTATTATTATTAATAATAATGTCCCCTGAAAAATGATAGTCACTTGAATTTTTTGAATCGATTAATCGAATGTGGGAAATTAATTTCTCTTGATTATTCCGGATGATTTGAGTGATGACGTTTACCTGGATTTAATGGGGTTTGAGGTGGGATAGGCTGAATTGAGAGATCATGACTTGATGAGAGCTGAATCTCGACTCATCGAATGGTGGAGGTGTGGGCTGAGTTAAACCTAGGGAATCCCCACCAATTGGTCCAAAGGCGCACTCTCGTGCTCTCGAATAATACCAACATGGCTTTTCAGGTTTTTCACGTCGGTTGTTCTGCATTTGTCGAGAACCTCGTCGACGGCAAAACCACCAGTGCCGTATGACACACCACCACAGCCCAGGTCACCTCCATTTCCATCTGCAATTTTCCAAAAAATAATCAATCAAATCAAAAACAAAATAATTTCGCAAAAAAATCCTTTTTATTTCCCAATTTTCTTAATCACTCCAGAATAAAATTGATACTCGAAAGAAAAATGTTTAAACAATTGAATTAATTCGGTGATTCGAGGTACATTTTTTTATGCTCGTTGAAAAAAAAAAAACAGGTGTCGATTGGAATCTATAAATTTTTTTTATTTGTGAAATTCATTGAAGAAATTTAATTTTCTTCGTCATTTTGAGATGTATATTTAGAAATTCGGATTTCCAGTCGGACATGAAGACAATTTCACCCCTTGATCACTCCCTCACTGATTTATTCACCAGAAAATCGAATCCCCATCTTAATGAATTTTCTCTTCATCTCCATAAATGAAACCTGTTCTCGACTTCAACTTCAGTCGACGTGTCTCCACTCCCACATCGAGAAGAACTTCATCACCCCCAAGATGAAAATAAAAGGATACAAACCGATTTCTCAAAATTTCGTAATCCCCCACATGAAAATCCACCGAAAAGTCTGACATCCCACGAAAATCATTTCACGACCTAGACATTTAAATGTCCTCTATTTACCATTTCGAATCGCCAACGAAAACCCGCGGAATCTCAGCCGTTCCCCACCCCTCCACCTCAAATCCTCCACCATTTTGTGATTCTGATCGGAGGCCTAACAAACAACTTAAAAAATCACCGACACGTGAATCCTCTCCTCGAAGAAAAATAAATGTTTAACAATCGAGACAAGTGCATCGAGTGTATCTCGACAAAAATCATTTTCCCGATGAAAAAATTCTCGATTTTATTGAATTATCGGTGATTGAAGAGTGAAAAATAATCGGATCGTGCATTAACAATGGTAAAAATAATGGTGAATTTGAAATATCGTGGCAATTTAAAATATTAACTCAGTTTATTCTCCCACCACATCGACAAACCTCTTCGCCCCCACCTCACCTGACTCCATCTTCGTCGTTGCCACCATCTTTCTCAAGGGTTCACAAATACCTCCATGTAACACATACACTGGTCAAGCATTTTCCCACTCCCACCATTCAATTTAACCTCCCAAAACCTCCCCAAAAAGGTGTCAAAAAATCACCCCAAAAATGTCAAAATTGTCGCCAAATTTATCATCCTGGAGGTGAAATTAGTGTGTGATTTGTGCCGGTCGACAGTGACGAGGACGCCGGCACCTGGATGACGATCTCAACGTCAGACTGGTACACCAGAATTTATTAATTACCCCCTGAAATAATTCACCCAATAATCCTATCCCTCCAGATAAATAATTATACCAATCGCTAAGTGTAACCTCAAATTCTCCACAGAATCCTCGCTGCAACATTTTCAAGTGTCTCAGCTCAATTGAAGGTGAAATTTCAGATAGAGAGAGAGAGCGAGAGAGAGAGAAAAAGGAACTGGTGAAGATGATGGAAATTCCATCGGGGAAAATGATAAGGAGTGATGGGAGTGAATTTTTCGTGATGATTTGTGGATTTTCTTGGGATTGTGAGGACTTGGGTGGTTTCTCCGTGGCTCATGGGACCCCGTGGCCTTTTTTTCCATGGATTTGGGCTGAACGAGGGCCCGAGTGAGTCACATTGATCCACTGAATTTTTTTACAGTCAACTTATATGTTTGAGTTTATTTCGTCGGGTTGGAGGTGTTCTCGAGGGATTACTCTGGTGGCTTTGCTTATGTCTTCGACAATCAGAATTAATCTCATGTAGGAATATGATAAACATCAAGCAGGAAAAATATCTGGATTACATATTTTTCGGGGTGGAAATTGTCGAGATATCGCAATTAGTCCTCTCATCTTTGAATTTCAATTGTTGCAAATACTGAATAATTGTAATTATTTTTTGATAGTTTTTTTGATTTTTATCGTTGGAAGAAGTGGGAAAAGAAATTTAAATGGAATATCATGAGTTCAATCGGAGAGTCTGGATTTTTCTAGTCTGTCAGCTGATCCAGCATTAACTATTTCCATGTGAAATGATGATTTAGAAATATTTAATGATTGTGTAACATTTTTTTCTTTTTCAGATGTCTGCTGGTTCACAAATTCAGATGGCACCCCAATCAACCGTGAACTCTGGTCAGTCGGTTCATAGTCAAGACTCAAATATGAGTACTGGTAAGTGACCCAGAAAAAAAAAGAAAACTAATAAAGAGGGATTTCATTGATTGACAGAATTTGAACGCCTGACGATTCTGCTCGTAGAAAAATTGTTTAAAAATTCGAGAAGTCCAAGAATTTTCTTCTGAACCCTTGAAGATTGTCTTGAGATCAAAAATTGTTGTCTCAATGTCTCATTTAGAGTTTTGAAGCGTTGAATGAGTCGGGAAATTATGGGAATCTTCTCTGGGCTGCATTCGGTCTGGAATTATTTGTGTAATTAATTTTTTTTTGGTTTCAGGCTCGTCGCACAGCGACAAGGAGGTAGATCCAAACACACCTGAGAAGGTACCACGTAGCACGGGAGAGAGAAAGAGAAAACGTAAAATTGATGATGGAGGTGGTGGTGGTTCTGGTGGTCCAGTTAGTTCTAAGGGTGCTCGATCAGCACCAGCATTGGATAAAAAAATCAACGAGTATTTTCCAAAACATCACCTAGGCAGTAGTCCAATTAGGCATGGAGGCGCTAAAAGTCCATCGCCGCAGTATCCTATGGTAATTTTATTAATTCAATAATTTTGGTAATAATCAGAATATTTTTATGTCTACAATTGTATTTTTTGTCGTGCAATGATATTCTTTTGGATCACGGATTTGATTCCAGATGCACTCAAGGCTGTCCAGTTTGTTTGAAAAAGAGAGGGTGAAGGTCACGACATGAGAAAAATCATGATTTCAAGTTGAGATATTTTCTCGTGTCCTTACACCTTGTGTTTTCCATTTTCAATATTTCACCAATTTTTTTCATTATTCTGGTAATCAGGCGAATCGCATTGAGAATTAATTGGACAGCTTTGGCTCAGTTAAATTATTATTTATTTCAAATCAAATTCAATCAATTCATTAAAATCTAGAATAAAAATGTTGTGAATTAAAGAATTTTCTTTGATTGTTAATAAAAAATAATAGAATTGATGCAAAAATATTCGAGTCAAGGAAATCTTGAGGATTTTTTAATGGAGAATTGAAAGCCATGAATGAAATTTTTTAAATAAACAATACAGGATATTTGTAGTAATTTTTAATGATGACTTTAGTATCCACCATCGACTCAACCACTAGTATCATCCCAATCGACAACGCCAAACGCCTCGGGTGCTGAATTTTCATCCCTGATGCAACCACCACGACCTCAAATACAGCCCCCACCTCCACCATCGGCAACAGCACAACCTGCGGGCTCAATGGTCAGCAAGCAGGTTCAGGTAAGGCCCACGAACCTACCTAGGACAAGCCAGGTCAGGCAGGCGAAGACAAACACCCCAAATGTAAGCACCGTCAACAAAATTCTCAAACCCTCATTTAATTTTTTTTTTATACTTTTCTTTCAGTGATATTTTTATCCTTCTGTTAGCTCGTATCCTACACCAATCAGCACTGCCATTCGTTTTTTCAATTAGATTTTTTTCACGTACAGTAGAATGGATAGTGAAGGAAAATCTTTATCTAGATTTTATCAACACTCTTTCTGTTTTATTATTTATGGGTTTGAATTTTTTTATTATTACATTATTACATCATTATTGCTAATTACTGAAAATTATCATGTCTTTAATTCATTAATCAATTATTTTTTTACATCTTTAATGTTTATGGATCTGCTTGAGAGACAACTCGTGTCCGTTATCTCTTTATCTTTATTTCTTAATTATTTTAAAATTTTTGTGATGGTGAATATTCATGGGAAATTGTTTTCGCCTTCCCGACATTCGTTAATTTTTATCTTCTACGTTTAATTCCTTTTTTTTTTCTTTAATTCACTTGTCAATTAATAAAATCGAATTGCGGTGCTTAAGGTCTTGTATCAAATAGAGAATATATATTTAATTTAGTAGACTATTTGAAGAATAATTCCCTTCAAATTCTCACGAAACTTGTTTAATCAATAATAAATATCGACTTCTTATTTATTTCAGACGGAACTCACTTGTCAGAGGATACAGGAATTTGAGTCTCAGGCATCGTCAGATTTAGAACTACGTAATAATAAAATTGACGAATTGAATAGAGTAAGTAAATAATAAAAAAAATAGCAAACGTCACGAGAATAATAAACAAAATATCAATGAATCTAACAATAAAAATTATTTAAATTACAGACAACCGAAGAATTAAGGCATCAAATGGCGAATCAGCAAAAAATTCTAGAACAGCACAAATCTCATATAAATAAATGTATAGACGTTGTAAAGAAACTGCTTAAAGAGAAATCAAATATCGAGAAGAAAGAGGCTAGACAAAAATGCATGCAAAATAGACTGAGACTTGGACAATTTGTAACCCAGCGTGTTGGTGCTACGTTTCAAGAGAATTGGACAGATGGTTATGCATTTCAAGAATTAGCGCGTAGACAGGAGGAGATATCGACTGAGCGGGAGGAGATTGACAGGCAAAAAAAATTATTATTAAAAAAGAGGCCATCAAATAGTGAGACTGGTCGTAAACGTAGTCAACCACAACCATCACTGCATAATGGTACTGAAGCAACATTTTTGAAGCCTGATGCTGTGCCTGGATCATACACGTGGCAAGAATATTACGAGGCAGATGAAATACTCAAATTACGTCAGAGTGCATTGAAAAAAGAGGACGCCGATCTGCAACTTGAGATGGAAAAATTGGAGAGAGAACGAAATTTACATATTAGGGAATTAAAAAGAATACACAATGAGGACCAATCACGTTTCAATTCACATCCAGTACTGAATGAACGTTACCTATTACTTATGTTATTAGGAAAGGGTGGATTTAGTGAGGTACATAAAGCATTTGATCTCAAGGAGCAGCGGTATGTTGCGTGTAAGGTACATCAATTGAATAAAGACTGGAAAGAGGATAAAAAGGCCAATTATATTAAACATGCGTTGAGGGAGTACAATATTCATAAAGCACTCGATCATCCCAGAGTTGTCAAGCTTTATGATGTTTTTGAGATTGATGCCAATTCATTTTGTACAGTTTTGGAATACTGTGATGGTCATGATCTTGACTTTTATCTTAAACAGGTGAGTTTTTATTTAATACTCATGCAATATTGTTTTTACTATTCTCTACACTGGAATATTTATTATATTTATTTTTCAGCATAAAATGATCCCTGAGAGAGAGGCAAGATCGATTGTTATGCAGGTTGTATCAGCGTTGAAGTACCTTAACGAAATAAAACCACCGGTCATTCATTACGACCTCAAACCAGGTACGCTAGTTCACTCAGTGTTTTGTTTTGATTTGTCTTTCATGAATGAAATTAATCAGCTGTTTTGGTCGTTTTTTTTTAATAGGTAACATTCTGTTGACTGAGGGAAATGTTTGTGGGGAAATCAAGATTACAGACTTTGGGTTGAGCAAAGTTATGGATGAGGAGAATTACAATCCTGATCATGGGATGGACTTGACGTCGCAGGGAGCTGGAACGTATTGGTTTGTATATTCAATCGATAATCGATTTTATTCAATATTTTTTCACTCAAATCAATCCACTAAAAGTGAAAGACTTGACAAAAAAATTATTCAAGTGAAAAATTCATGTCGTTCTTGAAATAATTATTGTTTATTGCTAATTTCAGGTATTTACCACCAGAGTGTTTTGTAGTTGGGAAAAACCCACCTAAAATATCGTCAAAGGTTGACGTATGGAGTGTAGGAGTTATTTTCTATCAGTGCCTCTATGGTAAAAAGGTAAAAAATAACAATATCGATATTAAAACAATTGGAATATTTTCTCAGTAATTTAATTGACGTATTATTGGCTATTTAGAGAGTGTCAGAGTTAATTTCGTGGCCCTTTTTTACAGCCATTTGGCCATAATCAGTCACAGGCGACTATATTGGAGGAGAATACAATATTGAAAGCGACTGAAGTGCAGTTTGCGAATAAACCGACAGTTAGCAACGAAGCTAAGGTAATTGGTATTAATTAATTATGATTTATTACTGACTTATTGGATTCGAGCACACGCACTAAAGCTAGTGCATTTGGATAAATAGGATCTACATAATTGAGATAGAATTCATTGTGAATTAACTGGTAATTTTAATTATTTTCAGAGTTTTATACGAAGTTGTCTGGCATACAGAAAAGAGGAGAGAATCGATGTACTGACATTAGCAAGACACGAATACCTCCAGCCACCAGTGCCAAAGCACGGACGTCAAGCAAATAGTCAACAGCAGCAACAGGCCCAACAGCAGCAACAACAACAAATACAGCAGCAACAGCAACAACAGCAACAGACCTCATTCACGACTGGAATGTTCAGTGGGATGAATGCATCGAGCAGCTCGTAGTGAAAAACATGAAATAATGCAGAATTTGTTCTTGTTATTTTTTTTTTCGTTTTTTTTTTATATTGAAAAAAAAGACAAAGCCTGAAGCAAGCTGAGGATATTAGAGAATCGACAAGTACTGCTTGAAAAAACATTTGGAGATGCCCAAATTGAGACTATTGGGACATGAGTGTTTTTTTTTTTTCGTTCAGTAGGTTAACAATAAACGGAGAGAGTGAGAGCAAGTGAGGAACTTTTCATCGATTATTAAATTAAATTAAAATGGAACACGGGAGGAGGATTAAAAGATAAAAAATAAAAATGCCAAATCTGTATGAGAGGGGACACTCAAATTGCACACCATTTCTGCGTCAACTAAATGAAGAGTAAAAACAAAACTAAGTAATTAAACAAAATAAAAACAGTGAAATAATGAAATAAATAAAATAAAAAATACAGTGAATGTAAGAAATTAATAATTAATCCAAGTGTAAATACAAGTAAAATGATGGATAAAGGAAAAAATTATTCAAACATCACTGTTACAGACACAGACATCCACCCTGCCACAATAATCACCGGTAAAAAAACAATTCATTAATTAATCTATTTAATTTCATCCCTCTCGATGAAGGAGGAATTAGTAACAAAATTTATATCAATGACGACATAGAATTTCATTGATTAAAATAACAATCAGTGCATTTTTTGTGGAATCAAAAATAAGAGGATAATTGGAGAAATAATGGAGTAACTGATTCTTTTTATTTCAGTTATGAGAGAGAAGAAATTATACACGCAAACTATCACGAATGATAAATTCATTAATGCAATTATTCGGGAGTGAAATGATAAAATTTTGTGAGTTTAATCTATTTTCTTTGTTGATTTAAAATTAATCGCGTAATTGATGGATTTTTAGGGGAAAATATCGACAGATTTTAATGCATGAATAAATATTTAAAATACTATTTTCATATTTCCCTCTAAAATTTCTCGTTATCGGAGTAATTTCACATTCAGTGAGGTGTGAAAAATTTGACGTGTCGCGTTTTATCATTTCACTGCTGAATTCAAACATGACAACAATAAAAAATATTGTGTCCGTAAAAATGAGAAGAATATTAAATTGTGTTATTGTTCCTTGTATCGAACAGTGAGCTGATTCGAAAGAAAAAAAAACAATACTAGTGCTTGAATGAGAATTTAAAAAATGTAAATGAAGTGAGAGACGAGGGAAAATTAGATAATGTAAGGATTTGAAAAATGATGAAAAAAAATCGACATAAACATGTGATAAGTCTTTGTGAATGAAAAGAGCAACAAAAATTAATTAAAAAACGTTTCATGAAAGTGAAATCTTTTTTTTTATTTTATCGTTTTGAGTCTGTTTTTCTACACTTTTTTTTTTGTGGGGAAAATTTGAGTGACTGAAAATGTGTGAGTGAGGGTAACAAATAAATATTCAAAATTTCAAAAGTAAATGTTCTTTCTATGCAATTTATTTCATATTTCTGGCGTATTAGAATTTTGAAAATGATAATTGAAAGGTAAAATCGATGAAGAATAATCGAGGTATTAATCTTTTCTATTTTTCATTTCAATTATTTAAAAAATGTGAGCGATTCATATGTCCTTAGTGTGTGGTATGAGAATAATGGAATATTTGCAATGAAGAGAAAAATCGAAAAAATTGTTACAATTTAGCATGCGTGTATATATCATACGAAAAAAAAACCTAAAAACTGAAAGAAATCAAAAGAATTGTTTTTACTTGATTTCACATATTTCGAAGATCATTGTCTCCCCTTTTATTTTTAATTCCACAATTTTCATTGATGTCATAAACAATAAAAGTCCATAATTTAATCGATTCCACAGTGAACTGGAAAAAAATCGTATGAAATTTTTATCTTCAATTCGTTATTTTAGAGAGAAGAACGAAATAAAAAGCGAAAAATTGTACAATTCCATTTTATTCACAAATCGTTTTGCTATCATTCTAGATAAATTAATATTTTCACTGGTGAATTGATTTACTCGTGCGATTAATTATCAAATTCATTTTATCTCCTCCTTCTTCGGGACTCGATCATTTTAATTTGCGTCTAATAGGGATGAGCAATAAAAAATGTCAACCTAAAAAGAAAACGAATTATCTCTAGATCATCATCATAATTCAACAGACCTGAATCAATTAGTCGCTTTACTCAATTTGTTTTATATATGTACGTTATATAGATATTAATAATTATGGAAATAGAAGACTAAGTTATTTTATCAAGTGCCCTTTTGCTTTGTATTATAGTTAACGCGATCTAAAAAAAAATGTCGATAACAAAAACCATTTTTTCATGCGCATTTTTTCCCCTGTGTTTTTCTCAATTTTTTTTTATTAAAAAAAAATAAATAAATCCCCCCATTTGATTTATCAAGACAGGATTCAAAGACAACAATAAATTGAATTCAATTTTTTTTATTCAAACATTAATCCTCCGATTTAACATTCATTCTCATACGTACAATTGTCATTAATTATCAGACAAGAACGAGACAAGGAGTTGAAAATATTCAGGTGAGTGGTGTTTATTACAAATCTTACAAATAATTATTAATTATAATATCCCATTACTCTGAGGGGTAAATAATTGAATTTCGTATTTAGCATGAAAATTTTAGTTTAGGAAAAAATAATTCATTCCCGACGGAATAATTTTCCCAAATTATTCAATCACGAAATAACTTACATCTCACCACATCCGCCTATTATTTTAAAAAAAACCTACATACGAGTAAATTAACAAAATCCGAGAGATTCAGCTACAATCTTATAAATCTCTCATTATCATATTGATGTGCATTCACTCACGTCTCGTGAGACTAAACGAAAATAATCAGTTAATTGAAATCGAGACAAAAATAAAATTACACTCCTAATTACTCTAATAAGTCGTTGAGATTAATCATGTGTACTGTACAACTCGAAAGGACCAAAACCAAAGATCACGTATAAAATCGTTGGGTTGAAAAATTGTTTAACATTGAATAAAGGGAATGGACAACTAAAATTTTCAATAGAAAATATTTTTCCACTCCCAAATATCAACGATTTAAAATCATCCATATTCCCGTATTAATTCCACGATAATCTCACAAACTTTCGCATACCAGAATTATCACCCCCCGTGAATAACCCACCCCCCATATCCCGTAAAAAACCATTGCAATTCACCTACACATTAATTAATTATCCTAATTACCACATACACTTATCAAAATCTCGTGGAGATGATGAGCTGAGACAGTAGTAAATTGGATCGAGTAAATAACTCGTAAATCCATTTGTAACTGACGTATCGCGTAAATATCTATTCGGAGAAAAAATTCTAGAGACAAATGCCAGAGATTTTTTCAAATAAAAAAAGTTCTTTTGCCTTTTTTTTTGGGGCCCTTTTTCCCGAGATATAAACAAATTAAAGTGACCCCTCATTTTCAATTGGATTGCAATCAATCTATCTATCCTGATTCCCTCAATCTGAATCATCAGAATCCATGGCATAGGAAACAGCTTTTCTGGCTCTACCCCCAGGTTTCCTAGGCGGTGGTGAATCCTCGACAATACTATCATCAAAGCTCTCGCTCTTCTTCACCTTCTTCTTCCCCCTGGCCTCATAAATATCATCCTCATCCTCATCAGATGAATTCATCCTCTTGACAGTTCTCTTCACCCCCTTAGGCCCACCATTCTCCTTCTTCTTACCCCCAGACGTTTTTTTCTTAGCGATATGCTTGACAATCGGTGAATCATCACTAGAGCTTGCAACTCTATCGCCACTTGATTTCACTGGTGTATTTCCAACGAGTGAATCAAAAAGCTCCTCAGAGCTAGGTTTAGGCGGCTGATTCTTCTTATCAATTTTAAAATCATCCTCAGAGTCACTGTCATGACCTCTTCCAGATGCTGACTGAGCTGATGGAGCAGATGATGGTGCAGACACTGGTTTCTTCTCTTCATCATCACTCAGAAGATCAACATCACTGCTCTTCTCGTCCTCACTGTCCAAATTATATTTTTTCTTAGCAGCAGCAGCTCTTCTCGGTGTTCTAGGTGCTGGTGGTGGTGATAGAGTATCAAAATCAATGTCTGGATCACTCTCATCACTCTCATCACTGCCTCTCGATTTTTTCTTCTTCTTCTTCTCAATGGGCTTGAAGGGCAGAGTTGTCTGCTTACCACCACCTTTTTTCTTCTTCTTATCAATTTTATCTGGTGATGTACCCAGTCTGTCCTCTAGAGATTTTGCATTCGACTCCACTAGCATATCGAACTCATCTTTCTCCTCTTTTATCTCAATTTTCTCTTTCTTCACGCGTGGCGCCTTCTTCACACCGTCTTTCTTGTCCTTTGATACGATATCTGCTTTCTCGATTCTCTTCTTCAGGTCGCTGTCGATTAATGGAAGTATACGGCGTGAGTTCTCCACTTTGTACAGTGGCTTGGCAGCGGTTTTCTTCGCTCCTGCCTTTGGCTTCTCCTCGTCTTTACGCTCTTTTTCCTCGACTCTATTCAGTTCTGCCAGTAGAGCATCCAAATCCTCTTTCCAGAGACCCATCGGCGTTTTCGCCTGCAGACGCTGCAGTTCACCAATTTTCGTGTCTCGTTGTTTCAATAATTCGTCCTTCCGTTCTTTCGTGAGGGACCACATTGTCATTCCCAGGAGATAGTCAAAATTCTCTTTCTCTATTGCAGATGCTGATGCTGGCTCATCACCATTTTCACCGTCTGCTACCTCTTCCTGAAAGAGTAGATCAATTTTTTTTTTCATTTCAATATTAATAACAACTATTTAAAAATTGATTAAAAAAATGAATGAAACCAGAATTCATTTCTCTGAACTCACTTCTTCTTTCTTCGGTAGCAAAACATTTCAATTGAATTATTACAGGAATATTAACAGAGTAATTAAACAGGAATAATAAACAATGATTTACCAAAACTTCTTCTCTATTCTGGGCCAATTTCCAGGCAACAACTGGATCTGAGTCATAATTTCTTCTGACAAGCTCAGCAATCATATCCTTCTTCTTCTTATTCTCAATAACAAGATCACCATCGCACTTCTCGATGATAAACCTAGCCTGATTACTGAGTTTCGACGCCTCAGCCTTGAGAATTCCCTCCAGATAATCTTTCCTCCTGTGATAGGTGTCCAATCGAACTTTATAAAATCCTCTCATTATTTGCAAAACAGAATCGTACTTCTGGAGACACTGAGCCTCATCGAAGGCGCACATTGAGGTAATTGACGTTGTAGTCTGTATCTTGAAGGCCTTGTGGAGACCCTCTCTCTCGAGTTCCTGGAGTTTATCACGCGACAGTGTGACAATAAATTTTACATCAGTGTCAGTATGATACTCTTTAAAATCAGTGATGAGAGCTGGAGTTTTCTCTGATCCATTGAGCATGGGCTCGAGAACAGTCTCTTTGTATGTCTGGGTCCAGCAGCCAACAGGAAGCTCTGTTATTTCCACTTTATCAGGTCCAATAATCGATATCTCACCAGAGATAACATATCTGTACTCTCCACACTTCTCAATACTCCCTACAAAATTTTTATAAAACGGAGTCATAGGCTTGGGCTCGCCCCCCTCAATCATTCTGTACAGATTATCAATGATCTCCCTGGGACTGTAATTAGGAATTTTAGTCATCCATCCAGTGCCAATGCCATCAGCTCCATTGACCAGTACCATTGGTATAATAGGAATGTAGTAAACAGGTTCAATTTTCTGATTGTCATCGTACTCGTGCTTCAGGAGTGCATCATCGTGTTTGTGAAATATAAATCTCGCCAGTGGACTGAGTTTAGTGAATATATATCTGGGACTTGCCGAGTCCTTTCCACCCTGGGCTCTCGTACCGAACTGACCATTGGGCATCAGAAGATTTATATTATTGCTGCCAACGAAATTCTGGGCTAAATTAATAATGGTAGCCATGAGTGATGCCTCACCGTGATGATAGGCTGAATGTTCAGCGACAGAACCAGCCAATTGGGCGACCTTCACTTCCTTTTTGTCATTCCTCTTGAAGCATGTGAATATAACTTTTCTCTGTCCAGGCTTAAATCCATCAATCATGCTGGGAATTGACCTGACATTATCGTAATTACTGAACAACACTAGCTCCACGTTAATAAAATCTGAGTATGATACAGCTTTAGTGTCTTTCTGATAGAGGAATCTCTCTCCAAGTCCCACCTCCTTTCTCCTCTTGGTCTCGTCCATGTGATTCGTCAACCAATCCTTTCTCTGATCCACGCACTTCTTGCTGAATGCCATTATGATGTTCTGATCGTCCTGCTCACCATCGTATCTGAATCTGATCCTGTGTCTTGCCATATCTGCGAAATATTCCTTAGCCTCTTTAGCCGAAGATGTACCCAAACCTTTGTAGTACTTGACATTGTACGTGTGAAAATTCTCCGTCTCCTTTTTCCACTCCTCGAACTCGGGTAACGAGTAGAATGACAATTTGTGATTTCCTTTCCACACTTTGACGATCGGTGTTATGAATTCCTCAACGAAATTTCGTCGGAGAAGCGTAGGCCAGTTGTGGTGAATAAAATTAATCAGGAGTCCCTTGATGTGAGAGCCATCCTGATCCTGATCAGTCATGATCATCACTTTTCCATACCTCAGGGTCTTCATGTCATCGTCAGTTTCGTATTTCTTCTTGTACTGGAGCCCTAGGATCTTGATCAAATTATTAATCTCAGCGTTCTCAAGGATTTGCTTGTGCGTTGCCTCTCGTACATTCAGAATTTTACCCTTTAGTGGAAATATTCCATATTTATCACGACCAAGTGCACCTATTCCAGACACTGCCATGGACTTGGCTGAGTCTCCCTCAGTCAGAATTAATGTACAAGTTATGGATTTTGCTGTACCAGCATCATTAGCATCCTCGAGCTTTGGAATTCCTGATAATTTTCTCTGCTTGGACTTGGGCCCCAATTTCTGCAGCTGCGAGTCAGCCTTGAACTTTGCCCAGGACAAAACAGACTCGACTATTCCAATTTTTGTAACTGTCGTCACAAATTTTTCACTTATCGTGCACTTTTGTCCGAATGATTTGGCCTGAAGTGTCATATTCTCTTTAGTCTGAGAGTCAAACGTGGGATTGTTGATCAAACAATTGATAAATATCCAGAGATGATTCTTTATCTGAAAAGGCTTGATAGGAACGCCTCCCTTATTCCTCTTCTTCAATGTCTCCAGTAGATTTTTAACGATCAAATCCGTCACGTGATCAACATGTCTACCTCCTTTGGTCGTGGCAATTGAATTGACAAATGACATCTGTTGAAATCCCCTGTCAGAGAGAGTGACAGCGATTTCCCATCGAGGCCCACAGGACTCATAGGCTATCTTCAGTGGACTAGCATTGTCATCCTCCTTTCCCTTGATGTAGAGATCGACGTAGTCCTTGAAGGCCTTAACAGGAATTCTCTGTCCATTGAGGAATACTTTGACCCCTCGAGCTGATGCTGCTACGTCATAAGCTCTCCTCGACATCAAGGAGACAATATCATCGTCCAATTTTTCCATTTTAAATTTCTTCAAGTCCGGGGAGAATGTGACTTTCGTAAAATCATCACCGGAGAATTCTTTTATTCGTGGCTCTGAGGCTTTTCCCATGTTATTACCCCACGTCTGCTTCAAGGACTTCTTGTACTCTTTCGATGCTGTCTCAACGGTGAAACGATGGGAAAATATATTACAGAGCTTAGCACCGTAACCGTTACGACCACCAGTGACTTTTTCCTCCTCGTCGTCGTAATTCGATGATGTCAGGAGATGTCCGAAGATCATTGTGGGCACGTACATGTTCTCCTCCTTGTGAACTGCCACTGGTATTCCTTTTCCATTGTTCCAGACTGATATTGTGTTGTTATCGGCGTCAATATCTATTTTTATAGTGTCCATCTTGGGATCTCGCTGCTTGTTGTCAGCAGCATTCACCAGGATCTCGTCGAAGATCTTGTAGAGACCTGGCACATATTTTATCTCACGCTGGATCATCATCTGCTTCTCCTTGTCGTAGACCCACATCTGCTCCTGGACAAACTCCACGGAACCGATGTACGTGTCAGGACGAAGGAGAATGTGCTCCAGCTGTGATTTCTTCTGGTAAATTCCCTCGATCGTCTTCTTCTTCGGGGCATCGCCGCCTCCATTTTCCGTACTCATCTTCGAGGCGTTTGTTATTCTGAAAAAAACAAAATTTTCATTTTCTTCGATGTGACATTATTTTTCATTGACAAAATCATCATCAATCATTTAATTTATTGAGTTTTTAATTCGTAATTGGTCCTTGAAAATCTGAAAACACGTTGATCTGTTCCACTGGCTCAATTCCTGATGATCAAAAATCCAATAAAAAAAGGGGGGAAATCAAAAAAATCATCGTACCGAAAACAAAAACGTGTGGACCACCGAAAAATCCGGAACATCAACACCCCAACGGATCTCCAGTACCTGCAATCTCAAGTTAGCGCCTTTTTGAAATAATAAAAGGCAAAACGCCACCTTTTCGTACAATTTCGGCAGACAATAACCGAATGAACGATCGAGACTAGAAATATTTCCAAATAAATTGATAAAAAATTGAAAATAAAAAATCCACAATAATAATTACCTTCAATAAATTCACTGGGCTAATCACCTCGTCTTCAGAGTCGATCGTTCTTCGTTGCTGGTGATGTTAAAATGCGGTATAAACAGAGAGAAAAAAAAATATTAATCAACGAGCGTCGGTTGGCGAGGATGCCAGGGCATACTGACAGTTTTTACAATATTTATGTTTGGGATTGTTTATTTAGTAGCACCGATTGATAACGATAAAATAAATTGGTCTAACCTCCGGTTAAAATCATTCTGAATGCTGTCGTTGTGAAAAAGTTTTGGAGTTACCGTTGAACGTTATGGCGTTCCCTCTTTCTGTATTTTATTTTTTTCAATGGAATGAACACCGACACATAATGAAGAGCGGGAGAAAGTGGCGATTTTACGGAATTTGGCGCCACTTGCTTTTTTGCGGAAGGATGTAGAGGGAATCGCTGCACCGGATGTCGATGTTTTTTGAATTCACAGCTGTCCCGGCGTCCCTGACAATCCGTTAATTAATTGTTCATTTATCCAAGTTATTCGTATCCAGAGAAATTATTTATTATTATTTCACCAGTTATTTAGAATTCTTCATCGCAAGTGGAACACGTGAAATCATCGGAAATCAATTGGATCGATAAACGAGAGGTTTAAAACATTTTTTTTCTATCATTTAAAATCATTTTGAGCAGAAAATTCAGGAACTGAATGAAAGAATTTTTTAATCAGTTCTTTTTCGATGAAAATTTGAATTTTTCGTGTTATTGTGAAATTTTATATTTAAACAATTCAGTTTTAAACATCAATTTTTTATTTTATATTTAAATTTCATAGAAATTATTGTGCGAACTTTTAGTCGGGTGTTTTGATGACAATTACAGTTGTATGATATTTTTTGAAATTGTTTAGTCATTTTTTAATAAATTTGAGGATTTTTTAATAAATAAAGAGGATTGACCAAAGTAGAGGCTCAGTTCTGGGGGTTTGGGTAATTTAATTTTTTTACTGCAAAGGCGATTTTTAATTATGATTTGATAGTTTTTATTTTAAATTATTATTTTAAATTATTTATTATTTTTTATTTTAAATTTTTTTATTTTATTGGAGAGTTAATTGAATAACTGAAAATTGTTTGTAATGTAGGCATTGAATATATCAAGAATCAGGAATGAAAAAAATGACATGAAAATAAAATGAAAATGATGCTTCAAGGTCATAAAAAAATGCATACGTAACTCACCTTGCAGTGGGTTGCAAGATTCCCTCCAATCCTGGTGATGTCCATGTGATTCTGACGCCAAAGGTTGAAGTCGTCTTGGAAGCACTAGCACTCGAGACAGTTCACAAATTCACTAATCACTCACCACACAACCAAGAATGTTTTATCAACTCCAAATCCACAAAGATCAATAAAATAATATCAAAGATCAAATAATATTTTTAATCATTCAGAATAACATGAATGAGAAAAGTAATCCTTCGAATCTAATTCGCACTGTCACTTCAGTCCGTATCTAAACACACACTAAACAATTCACAAAATCACTTGCACTGAGTCCCGCACTTTGTATTTTCAATGTTCACAGGCGGCGCGGGTTTCTGCGCTCACTAGGACCCAGATGTTAACGGAGTTTAAATACGCGACGCACGACTAGACGTTCCGCGCGCGGTCGCGGAACGACTGACCCCCCACTCAAAATGGCAGGGCGTTGGAGACGGCGCTCGAGTGGGGGGTCCCCCGGCGATACTCCGGGCATGCGCACAGAACACCCCGCATGCGCACAGAACACCCTGCATGCGCACAGAAGACCGCTCGAGTGGGGGGTCGCCAGGCGATACTCCGTGCATACGCACGCACACCGTCCATGCGCACAGAACACCGCGGGCAGTCTCAATTTGACGAGATAAGATAATTGCGAAAATTCTGAACCTAATAAATAATTCTCTCTTAAAAAATTTTTTTTTCTCTTAAAAATTCTTATCATTCCCTGGCTATGGTGGGGCTGGTTACGTGCAAGGTACCAATTCTGGTCAGCATTAAGGCAGATGATTCCATGAAAAAATTATTATTATTTATCTTTATATTGAGTAAAAATATCTCTTTCAGACTGCTGCCCTGTGGATGTGATGACAGCACCCCAGTGTTGCGTGTGGCGCCCTCCCTCTTATGGGGTCGGCTACTACGATGCCGCTGGGGTTGCTCAAACCCCCAGAACTGAGCCTCTACTTTGGTCAGTCCTCTTTGGTGGAGTCCATGGAAGTCTTGGAACCCAAAATAATTGTCCAGTGAAAAATCTCGTGAAGAAATCGACAATTGAATCGTTGGATCGACTCGATAACTCGTTGCTCATTCTAATCGAGAGAAGCATTCGGTAATTAGATATTTATTTTGTTGATTAATTGCAGTTTTAAGTGATGAATGTGGGGTTTATTTCAGGCGAGACGTGGCTGTCAGTTGAGATCTGTGAGACATCGATGTTCAGTTGTTCCTTGAGGACCTGACGATTTTAGAAACGATGAGTCGACGAAGAGCTCACGACGATGATGATGGATACGGTAAGTACGATTTTTTATTGGATCTCTCATGGATCCGGTGTTCCCCAGGGCTTTTCTCTAGAGTTTGAGGTTAAGTTCGCCTAGTCACCGGTTTCGATAAGAAATCGAGAAGTTTCTCACTCGATGATAAATATTTTTTCCAGAACGTGCCTACAAGAAAAGACGTCGAGTCTCTGAGAACCAAGAGATTGAGGATCGCCTGGAGTCGCTGATCCTCCGAGTGGGTGAGAAATCCACCTCCTCCCTGGAGAGTAACCTGGAGGGTCTGGCGTCAGTGCTGGAGGCAGATCTCGGGGTTTTCCGTACAAAAATTCTCCGAATCCTGACGGATTGTGCGATGAAAATGCCAGAGAAATGCACGATCTACACAACACTCGTCGGCCTTCTGAACGCCAAGAACTTCAACTTCGGTGGTGAATTCGTGGACTACATGGTGAAGAATTTCAAAGACGCCCTGAAGTCCTGCAAATGGGACGCAGCTAGATATTCCCTGCGTTTTCTTGCGGATCTTGTTAATTGTCACGTGTTGTCATGTGGATCCTTGATGCAGCTCTTCGACTCGATGCTAGACGCAGCCAACGAGGATAGTGTACCCCAGGTGAGGCGGGACTGGTACGTCTACGCAGTCCTGTCGACACTACCCTGGGTGGGACGAGAGCTCTACGAGAAGAAAGAGCAGGAGCTGGACCACCTGATGGTAACAATCGAAGTATTCCTGAATAAAAGAAGTAAAAAACATCAGCCAGCCCTTCGTGTCTGGTCCAGTGACACTCCTCATCCCCAGGAGGAATACCTGGACTGTCTCTGGGCACAAGTGCGAAAACTCCGACAGGACAATTGGGCTGAGAAACACATCCCACGTCCCTATCTGGCATTCGACTCGATTCTCTGTGAAGCCCTCCAGCACAATCTTCCAACGATAATTCCACCACCACATCACGACTCATATCTCTATCCCCTGCCAACCGTCACCTTCCGCATGTTCGATTACACAGACTGCCCAGCAGAGGGTCCACTACTCCCCGGGAGTCACGCAATCGAGAGATTTCTCATCGAGGAACACCTCAGACAGATAATCGACAATCACTTCCACGAGAGAAAGGACTGTGCAGCTAATCTCCTGAATTTTCCATACAAAAATAAAATTCCACTGGATTACTGTATCGTTGAGGTGATGTTTGGAGAATTATTCAAATTACCAACACCCAAACACCTGGAGATCTGCTATGGCTCAATTCTCATTGAACTCTGCAAGCTCCAGCCGTCGACGATGCCCCAGGTATTGGCTCAGGCAACTGAAATTTTATTCAGGAGAATTGACAGCATGGCAGCCGCTTGTTTCGACAGATTCGTCTGGTGGTTCGCCTACCACCTGAGTAATTTTCAGTTTCGATGGTCCTGGGAGGACTGGGACTCCTGTCTCCAGAGAGATGCCGAGCATCCAAGACCCATGTTCATCAAGGAGGTACTCCTCAAATCCCTGAGGCTATCCTATCACCAGAGAATCAGGGACATGATGCCTGAGAGCTACGCTGAATTGATTCCAGCTGTTCCTGAGCCAATTTACAAGTACAGCTCTGAGGGCGCTAGCTCACTCCCTGGAACAGCTGCTGCTCATGAGCTCGTTGTCTCCATCAGGAGAAAGTGCACTCCCGAGGAAGTCATCAATGTCCTCAATACCCTGCCTGGACCTGGGGAAAACGAGGAGACCAATAATTTCAATCCTTTGAAGATCGATGTCTTTGTCCAGACACTTCTCAATTTGGGCTCCAAGAGCTTCAGCCACAGCTTCGCTGCCATTGGAAAATTTCATTATGTGTTCAAGGTGCTAGCAGAAACCGAGGAAGCGCAAAAATGCATCCTGATGAATATGTACGCCTTGTGGAAGAACCACTATCAGATGATGGTTGTTCTCACTGACAAATTCCTCAAGACTGGTATTATCGAGTGCAGTGCAATCGCCAATTGGATATTCTCCAGAGAAATGTCATCTGAATTCACTAAATTGTATATCTGGGAAATTCTACACTTGACAATTCGTAAGAAGAATCAACACGTCATTAAATTGACTAAAGAGCTCACTGAGGCGCGTGAGAAGATGAGAAGAGATGAGAGCAAGTCTGGATCATCGTCTGATGAGGAAGATGGTAGTAAGGACAAGGGGGAGAGACCCTCTGAGGAAGTACTGGAGAGGATGGAGGAGAAGCTGGAGGCAGCGCAGGCAGATCAGAAGAATCTCTTTCTTATTATTTTTCAACGGTTTATTATGATTCTCTCTGAGCACTTGGTCAGGTGTGATACTGATGGCATTGACTACAACACCCACTGGTACAAGTGGACCGTTGGCCGTCTTCAACAGGTCTTTCTAACCCACCACGAACAAGTCATGAAATACTCATCGACTCTCGAAACTCTTCTGTTCACTCCGGATCTTGATCCTCACATTCTCGATGTGTTCCACCAGTTCGTCTCCCTCAGGGCGTGAAATCTCGAAATAATAATGATGGTAGAATCATTTTTTAAGGTTTAAAGATATTGCGACGAGATTTTTACACCGATATTTTTGACTTTATGGTACCGAGGGTAGACCAGTTTGAATAATTAAACTGATTAATCGTTTATTCGTTTGCATTACTGTCATCAAACCAAATAGCTATATTGTATGTAAAAAATTGCGTATACAATAAATTTTCATTAGATTATTTGAGAGGATGGGATTTAATCTGTCAGACGATCGGTTACAGGTGTGGTGAACCTGCTGTTTCTTCGGAAGGGCTCGTGGAGGTTTAGAACTGTGGAACGCCTTTTTAGGATTTCCTTCGAGATCTTTTCCTTGTAGATGGTCTCCGTCAGACTCCCACCGTAAACTGGATAATTCACTCGTTTCTGGACGATATGTAAAGTATTTTAATTAATTATAATTGAATGAATTATTATTCTCGTCGTGATTACCTCGGTGAGGACTTCCTCTTTCTCCAGGATGGGTACGAAATCCTCTAGGCAATATTCGTCGATGTATTCTGATGAAATTGATTTGTAACTCGAGGGCTCGTCCTCTGGGTGAGGGAGAAATTTCTCAAATGCCTTGAGGGCTAATAGTTCTCGCAGGAATTTCCTCCGTTTTCCTTCGTGTTTCGATGATTTTGTTTCATTCTCACTGGACATCCCTCGGTTATAATTTTTAATATTCAATTTTTTGATTCAATAATTTATGGACGAGTATTTATCCTTGATTAATCGACGGTTGCCTAGCAACTCCATTATAATCCCCATTCATTCAACAGTAACGCTATTACAACAATTAATAATTAATAATAAAAAATATAGCCTTTTTCAACAATTTAAATCTCCAGAAATCATCCGTTAAATAAAAAAAATTTCTTGAGAAGAAATTATGAATGAATGAAATATCTCGGAAATTTTGGGTTTAGTAATGCATTCAAAATTTCCCGCTGCTGTTTGCGCATGCGCGGGAAAAATGGAGGGGGAAGCCCCCCCTGACGACATCTGCCCTTTTTGCTCTGAACTACTTGCCACGATAAAATCCTTAGTGATCTCTAAAAACCTTCATATAAAAAAAAAAAGAGTAAGAAGGCGATAACTCGAAAATAAATTGAAATAAATAATATTCTAGGTGCCCCCTCTCCTCAAAAATCACCGAGTACAAGTGCCCCCTCCAGAAAATCACGGAGATGTGACAGAATGGTTCGGTAATACGTGACTGTTGGCAGTTTGGCAGGGAAATAATTATTTTGTCACCGAGTGGTTAACGTGTTCGATGCCCAAGTGTTGGAGTACATAATCCACCTAGTGATCGAAAACTTGATCTGAGATCTAACTCGGGAGCTCGAGGGGTTTGTAATCCATCCATTATGAAAAGTTTCTATTCAATCGTCACTTGATCTTTATTTTTTAACCCCCAGTCGTCGATTCAGTCGTATGATTTAATATGATCATGGGCTAGTGGGGTGACCATTCTGGGACTTGAATTATTCAGTGATTTGTTGTTTGGACTAGAGACTTATATTCTCCAGAGATCTGCATCATTATTACAAGGTAAAAACCAGAAGAATTCACTCATCGTGACCTTCACCAACTCATCGCACCCGAAATCATTGATTAGTCATTAGGAACTCTTAATTCTCCAACGAACATAACCTATATCCAAGGATTTTTCGGTTCAAGACGTGACATCACCGTTTTTTCAATGGGGAAACGTCAAATAATCTCTCAATATTTATTTTTTTTTATTGTTTTATGGGGGAATTTGTTGGGAGAGATCTCCGGAAATTCTCCCATAATTCTCTCAACATTTTACATCGTACTCCATTATTCAAGGGATGATTCAGTGGTAATGAAGTCATAAAACTATATATGAAGTTGACATTTTTCTAAATTTATATTCATCTCGTGAAGAATTGGTCTGTGGAATTTTTTCGCTGAGGAAATCCTCGGATTTTGGCATTTTCCATCAGAATCACTCGTCCTTGTATTTTTCTATCCCAGCGAAATTCATTTGCATTAATGATTAATTAATCGTTCTCAAATCGATTATTCATCAATTGAATTCATCGATCGATTTTCTTATTAAAATGTTTCAAGATGATATTTCAAGATGTGAGATATTTTCATAATTCTCTAAAGAAACCCCATAAATCCTCCACCAGTCCTTAATTAACAAATAAAAATATAATTAATAAAACCATTAATTAATCATTCAAACAGTCAAATTGTTTAAAAAACATCTCGAAAACCCGGGGTATTCCACCACCACGCAATAACACCCCCTGCCCGCCCCACCGTCTGTCAAACTTCCGAAAGGAAAATGTCCCATAAATTTTCCCTCCCCCGCACCCCGAAAATACCCCGCTCCCCTCCACCGCGAAAACATCACAACCCCGAGGATTTCCTCCACATCTTTAACCGAGACCTCTTTCCAGGTACCTCAAATCACCAGGGATGAAACCGAGAAAGCCCTCATAAACCCTCTCCCCCCTCCCAAAATGACCACCTGAAATTTTTCCTTCCCCTGACCACCTCGAACTCGGCAAAATGACCTCGACCTTCGTAAAAACAACGCCAGCGCAGGTGCTGATGAACAAAGGAAAGCGTGGAGCAGCGGCTTATATCTACGCCGAATGCCGTGGTACAGGACGAGGAAAGCAGCTGGACGATCTGCTGGACCTATTGCTAACCCCAGGAAAGCCAATAGACGACTGGGAGACAATAGACTGGTGCAAATGGCTGATGGCATGTGGCTGTTCACCGGATGAATTTTCAACGACTGTAATAAAATACGACAATGCGACAACATGTGGTCTCGTGTGGACCCCAAATTTCGTGGCATATCGTTGCCGTACCTGCGGTATATCACCGTGTATGGCCCTGTGCACGGATTGTTTTAAAAGGGGTAATCACTATCGCCACGATTTTAATATGTTTTTGAGCCAGGCTGGAGGTGCTTGTGATTGCGGTGATACAAATGTGATGAAGGAATCAGGATTTTGTGATAAGCATGGTCCTAATTCAGCCGTCAATAAGCCACCAGCTCCCTCGGATCTGATGTTCGTCGCTGAGGCGATGATGCCCCGAATGATTCTACGTCTGATACAGCATCTACGAGAGAATTGTAAAGCTGGAGCTGATTACAGAAATGCCATTCAAACGGCTGATGCTTATTTAAAAATGCTGCTGGAGCTCAATGACATGGGGGCACTGATGAGAAGAGTCATGACATCCGCCCTGACAAATCCCCAGAAGTACCAGGGCTTGATGGATCCTGGGAGGACTTCATCATCGTCCTCCTCCTCCTCTTGGTCATCATCCTCGTCGTCAGCTGCCTCTGGTGGACAGTCCGAGTACGACGCCTACTGTCAGGAGAGTCACGTTATTTATCAGGATGCGATAAAAAATCTCCCGAATCCTGAGCCACCGGATGAATACAAGGACTGTCCATCCCTCCAGGAGGACCTCGTTCACACGACTTTCCTAGAAGAGCTGATGTTCTGGACCGTTGCATACGAATTCCCCCAGAAGCTCGTCTGCCTTCTCCTCTCCATGCTACCAGATCCCGATTACAAGGAATCCCTTACCCGTGCTTTTGTCCTCCATTACAGCAGAATAGCAATGATGCTGGAGAGATCTGGAGATCCTGAGACACTCAGCAATTCTGTTGTCCACGTATCTGTCCAGCTATTCAGTAATAATGGACTTGCTGTCCGAATGGTTGATGAATTCAAACTCCTCCACGTGATGGTGATAAGTCTCAAGTACATGATGAGTAAAATTCTTGTTGAGAATACACTTCATGCTGCCAACAAGAATTTCCACTACGTGGTGGATTGTGCACGCCAGGTGATGAAGGAGCACTGCTACTGGCCCCTCGTCTCCGATCTCAACAACGTACTCTCACATAAACCAGTGGCCGTTCGTTTTCTCACTGACGATCCCCTCCTGGAGATGTGGTTCGATTTTCTCTCGATGTTCCAGGGAATGAACGTCAATCAGAGAGAAATGGGTGCACACGTGGAATTCGAGCCGACAACATATTACGCAGCATTCAGTGCAGAGCTGGAGGCAAGTGCTTATCCAATGTGGGCATTGGTGTCTCATCTGAAGGGTCCAGAGAGTGCATCAGTCAGCAGAAGAGCTTTATCATTCTGCTTAACAGCACTCCAGGATTGGCTCGATGCCATTGGCTTCACCAGTCCAGACGTCTGCGATGTTCTCCACGTCTCCTTCCACATACCCCTCCACCGCTATTTCGCTGTATTCATGTGTCAAGCTGTCAGACAACAGGGGATAACTCTCCAGGAGCTCCTACCACCCACCGACATGCTCCACCTCCTCATGATGCATCCTCTGAGGATTCAGGTGGCTTTCTACGAGATTCTCAATGGCCTCTGGGTGCGAAATGGATTGCAGATAAAAGGACAGGCCATGACTTACATCCAGTGCAATTTCTGCAACTCCATGGTTGATGCTGATCTCTATCTTCTCCAGATATGTGCCACTAAGCTGCAGCCAGATGTATTTATCAATACAGTTATCGATAAATTTCATGTGAAGGAGTGGCTCAGTCTGAGATCCAGGAGATCACGACAGAATGTACTACTCATTGGTGAACACGATGCAGCAATGATGGAGAGCTGTCTCATATTCCTGGCGACGCTTATCAATGTGAGAACAAATCTCGGTCTGTCTGACTCTCAGGTATCACACCTGGAAATGGTGACACTTCTCTGCATGGGTGATAAAACCCACAGTCAGCTGATTGAGCTGATGCCAGAGAGATGTGGTACAACACCAAATAGAGATTTTGAGGAAGTGCTTGCTGATGTTGCCCAGTACAGAGCACCAAATCTCGAGGGTAATGGAATAATGCAGCAGGGAATGTATGGCCCAAAGTCGAGAGTCTGGGACGATATGTACGATCCACTTCATGTACTCCTGAGGGCTGTCCACAGGCGGGATTATCAGGTATCAATGGACAGATTCACGGAGTACGTTACATCGAAGAGTCAGAGCCAGAAGAAGAGCAACAGTGCGACCCTGTGGCCGCCCTTCAGATATCCAGCGCCAGTCTCTCAGGATTACGATGATCCAAGGATTGTCCTGAGAACGAGAATATTTCACGCGATGATTTATTCGGTTCTTTTCAAGGCCGTTAATGATCCCAATATATCTGAACACATGATGGCACTGGCTGTTTATCTCCTGGAGATGGCTGTTGTGACAACGGAGGTGCCTGATAAACAGACTAATCCAATCTGTCCTTACACCGGTTACTCAGGATCTGCCAGTGTCTCGTGCTCCCTCAAGGACATGGACTTTGGTAGTTGGTACGAGACTGATAGTCTTATTCAGAATCTCCAGACTTTCATACCCAGGACGAGTCTAGTGGAGAGTCGATCTGATTTTATGAATCCAACGGCATCTGACTGGGATATTGGCTCGGATGTTACTGAGAGCTCGCTCATGATCAATGATGAATTTGAAGTGGAGATTGGTGAGCAGGGTGATGTGTGGGAGCTGGAGTTGCTTAGGGAGCTTGGTGATCCAAGGGGTAGAGCACCACCACCAGATTACACTAATGATCACAGAAATACACTGCCAGCTCTGCCGTCGAGTCAAATCGCTGAGTGGGATGTGTCGATTGTTCTTGATGAGAGGGATCAGTTCAGAGAGGGCAATCCCCAGAGGCAGGAGAGCCAGAATCAGAGGGACAATTTGGGTATGCCGATTCGTCAGAGGGCACTACCACCACCACCAGCTTCACTGATGCAGTCGATATCGTCGGGGCTAGAGGCTGGAGCTGTTGTTCCCATGAATACCAATCAGAGACCACTCCTGGGAAATTCTGAAAATGAAGTGGATCTTCTCCAGGTGATTTTTCCAAGATTGGGAGCTTCTGGAATTATGGTACCGTCGACTAACACTGAAAATATATCCTCGGGGATTGATAATTCGGGATCGAGTGTCAGGGATATCGTACCATCGACGAGTTCATCGCATTATCAGCAGCAGTCTTATCCACCATCGAGGGAGATGCTCTCGAAATCCGGTGAGAGTATAATATCGCTGCTGTTGAAACTTCACTCTCAATTGTCCGGGAGTCCTGATAGCTGGAGCCCTGATGAAACAGGTGGACGACAGCCCGAGGCATCGAGCTCGAGCACACCGATGGATTCATTTGAATCGAGAATTGGTGATGGGCCTTATTTCATTGGTCAGCTTCTCAGAAAAATATCAGAGCTCGATGATAATCTCAAGCATAATATTAATGAGACGAGAAATAAATTGTGGCCGAGAACGAGGGAGTGCGAGGATGCACAGCGAGAGGTCGAGCATCGAGATAGAGAGGAGAGAAGAAAAAAAGCTAAAGAGAGACAGCAAAAATTAATGGCCGAATTTGCTAATAAGCAGAAGCAATTTATGAAGAAGGCGATGGAGACTGAGGATGCGTCGACATCGGGGATGGAGTGGGACCAGTCGGATCCATCGACGACGAGTGTCACCAGTAAGAAGGAGTATGACTGTGTGATATGCAATCAGACAACACCCAGCACCGAGGAGAAGCCCATGGGTCTCGTTGTCCTGGTGCAATCGACTAGTGTTCTCGGTCATGAGAGACTCAAGACAGAGAGGGTATCACTTCCAACCTCCGATGATGCACCCCGATTATCAATAAAAAGTATCAGAACAGCTCATTTTGATTATCGACTCAAGGACATGCGAAATAATTTCAATACCTCCTCGTGGCTGTTGTCCATAAATATTGGACTGGAGGGTGGAGTACACGTGCAGACATGCGGTCATCATCTGCACCTGGACTGTCTCAATCCCTACAGACAGTCCCTGAAGAATCAACCGAGACAGCAGAGTCTGGCTGTCAACAGGGGTGAGTATCTGTGTCCCCTCTGTCGTCAGCTTGCAAATTCTGTTCTACCGATGTCACCACAGCTGGGGGAGTCGTGTCTAGTTGTCAAGTCTAGACATCCATCTCCAACAACTATTCTCGAGGATATCAACAGTCTTCTTATGGAGGCCCAGAGGAATCCTGTACCATCAAATCTCTCTGAGGCAATGGGAAAGGCCATGGAGGAGATAACAGCTGTCACTTATCTCAAGTACAAGCAGAAGAACTCGGATCATCAGTACAGACACGAGAGTCTTTTTCTGTTCATAACGTCGGTTGCGAGGACAAATTTTGAAGTGGAACTGGTGCAGCATGGGGGAAAGCTTTATCCATCCCCACAATCCACGAATTTGTCTTTAGCACCCAAGAGGGATTGTATCGTTGCACTTCTTCATGTATTGACTGTTCATGCGAGACTCCTGATACAATGGCCTATTCACTACACCTGGCAACAGCTCACTGGTCTCTGTCTCGATAATTCATCATCACTGGTACTAGCATCACGTAGACGAGAGGTACCTCTACTCCTCAAGGATCCAATTGCACTTCTCATTCAATTTGTTCTTCTTCTGCCACTTCACATCGATCAGACTTACTTCGGAGTTCTGGTCAAGGTTATTTATAATCTGCTGTACTATCAGGTTGTTCTGCAGGTGAGCTGCTACCTCAGGCCAAGTGTCAGGGAAGAAATTCTGGCTGGTGGTGGCGACAGATCGTCAGAGGTCATGAGGAGTGTCATAAAGCTCTTCAGCAGGTGCAATCTCTACGAGCAAGATGTGGCTATCATGTTCGAGGGATCCGATTATGAGGAAAATATTCAAAATCTCTGTCTACCATTTCTCAGAATAGCTGCACTCCTCAGGCATCATCTTTACTCACAGCCGCTGCCTCAGGAGATCAGCAAAAAACCTCAGAGTGAATTTCACAGGCTTGTCACCTATTTGCAGCTTGTTGATGACACTGGTGATTGTAATTTTGCTGCTGGTGCTCTCAATTGGCAGGATGATAAAGCTGGTGTGAGGGTACCGAGGGTGTGGTTTCATCAGTTTCTCGATTTTCATGGGAGAAATCCAGCTTCAGCCAAGTCACTCATTGTTGATCACTTTCTTTCTTGGCAGGTGCCAAGATTTCTCAGTCTTCCAAAGGAATACGAAAAATTATTCACTTATTACCACGAGAAGGAGTGTTTCAAGTGTAATAAAGTACCACCTGAGATCAGCATTTGTCTGCTGTGTGGGGATATCGTGTGTCTCAAGCAGAATTGCTGCAAGCAGGACAACGTTGGTGAAGCTGTTCAGCATTCAATTGACTGTGGAGGTGGCACAGGAATTTATCTCGTTGTCACCACGACCTATATCATCGTCATCAGGGGACAGAGGGCTTGTCTCTGGGGATCTCTCTATTTGGACGAGTTCGGAGAGGAGGACAAGGATCTCAAGTGAGTACATCTTCACATCTCTTTAACAAAAATTAAATATTTCAATTGAATCATTAGAGCGATCAATTACTAATGATTGATCATTTTTTTTTTGCAGACGTGGAAAGCCTCTTTTTCTCAGCCAAGAGAGATATCAACTTCTGGAGCAGCAGTGGCTTGCCCATCGTTTCGATCACACGAAGAAAACGTGGGTATGGCATCGCGATGCTCTGTGACCACCGAGGGAATTCAGAATCAATTAATTAATTCATTATCACGAGCGATGAAGAACGAATTACTTAAAAATCATAATGAAGATGAAGATAAAGCATCTAGCACCGACGAGAGACAAGACGATGAGAGAAATTGTCATTTCTACCTTCAGAAATATAATCCCCACTACGAGATTAATCGCAAGTGTATCATAAATATATTTATTTAAAATTTACGTATGAAATATATATAGAATTATTAATTATTTACGGATTGAAAGTATTAATAAAATGAGTGTTGAAGGGTAAAATACGATTAATGAGAATAAATGGTGAATTATTTTCAACTCATTCGATGGCTCGAGTTTATTCGGGGACGTGATAGCGAGGGGATTGTTTGAATATTATATGTATATTCAGATATTAATGGGTTTTTTTTTTTTGTCTTTTTTCTTTTGTGATTTGCTTATGATCGATTGTTAATTGAGAGATAATCATTTTGTTTAAGGATCACCGACTCCTCATACTCTAGGATTTATTTCATCTGTGGTGGACTCTCTGTAAATATGTATCGATATTTTCATGTTAACGGGAGGTAATCGAGATCACGATATTTTTACGAGTTATTCTTGATTCGAGTATGACGAATGGGGAGTGAGTGCATCTATGAATACATGAAAATTTATTGTTTAGATATGGAGATCAATAAAAATATTATGGTAATCCAGAATTATTCTTGTACTGCCCTGAATATTAATTAATAAAATTATAATCGTGGTAATTAATTGCGAGGGAAGAGGAATTCATTGTTATTGGAACACTATTGAGGTAATTATTACATTATTTTTTATTCAAACGACAAAGAAATGAATTCTTACGGAATTTAAATTGTTTCTTCGAATCTTATATCAGTATAATCACGCTTGTAACAGCAAGTATCTGTATGTCCTTTGTTGTTATTTAATATTAATTGATGATATCGAAATAATATTTCATCAGAATGTTACTTTATATTCATTCATAGCGCTTCGAGATCGAGAGGCTAAAACATTGAAATTATCACGCAATTATCATCAATGGGCAGACTATCGAATTTTTTTTCTACATAATCCTCTCGATGCTAGGAATGTAAGAAAGTTGAAATATTTTTCGTATTTAATCTTCATGCCCAAAAAACACGAATTGTTTATGTAATATGTACTAATGTAAATGAGTGAAGAAAACATAAGACTCAATTAACTTCCGGTGACTCAATATGTTGAACAAAAATTGATAGTCCACTGTTCCATTATCAATTGAACTAAATATTTAATCACGAGAATGTTAATTATGGGAAAATTATGAAATTGCGTGGTATTTGTTGGTTTTTTTCTTCTGATTTTCCTCGTTGCGCTATTTAAATGTAACCACCTGTCTGCTCTTGATACACCTCGATCACATCATCATTCTCCATCTCGAGCTGAAATTACAAGAAAGAAATAATTACTCAACCTAATCATTAAAAAATTTTCTCAATCTCCCTGATTATCTCGAGACCTATCGATTTTAGGTGAAAATCGCAGAGGACTTTATCATAGACAATGAAATTTCCGTGAAAAAAGGTCTTCTGGTATTTTCGTCTAAAACCCACAGTTCTCTTCGTAAATAAAAATTTCGAGAATTTTTCCATTAAATTATTCTGTAATTGCCTAAATTACTCATAATTAAATATCTCTAATTACCTGCTTTGGTGTTTCATCGTCATTGATCCTTTTTCCATCAAAAAGGAACCTGAGAGAAGTCATAGGAAGCCCCTGCAACAAGCAAAACCGATACCGAATATGAAAAACGAATTTGAGGTTATAACAACTATCCAAAACGACGGATTAAGTTCATACCACTCTGTCGCTGTATGATTTTTTGAGTTTGCCCATCTGAGTCGTCATCTTTACCCTGAAATGGATCTCATTGCTGTCCTGTAACGACAAAAAAAAGGGCCAAAGCCAAAGGATAAGTGAAAATAATGCCCCAAGGCCCCAAAAACATTAAAAAAATGCAAAATAACGTGCCCCAAACGATAGAAACTCACATTGCCAACGACTTTGAGCTTGATGTATTCAGAATTTGCGTCGCCCGTACCGGCATCAGGTTTTTGCTCCTGGAAAATCGAAGGTTATATATCGAGAAAAGACATTGCCCCAAAAAAAATTCAATTCCCCACGGCCCCAAGTCCCAATAATTGGTCGAATAAAGTTGTTATCGGGGTGATGATGATCGGTGATTATTATTACCTGATTGTCCGACATTTTTACGCGCTAATTACAAAGGATTAAATATTTGACCACGCGCCAACAACGGCAAACCAAACACAAGCACGCAATATGGCGCGAGACGGGTTTTGTCAAGTCTTTGGTAGAATACGGCTTTCTGGCTTTCTTGGTTCACCGATAGACGCCCAAAATTGCAGAGTGGACGCGGGATAGATGGCGATGGCCATTTGTGAAATCACCGCTCAAAAAATTACAACCGGAAGTCGAAAAGCCCGCGCGCGCCAATTCAATTCAAATTTGAAAAAAAAACATTCTCATTAAATTTGATAAATATCCACCATTCATCATTATTTATCAACAATTTCAATAACATCTCGCTTTTTTAGTTAAGAAAATTTTTGTTGACAAAATAATTAATTGTAATAATCACTCCATTGAAAATGAATTTAAAAAAATTAATTAATGAGGAATACGACCGGAAGAATAATTAAATTAGTTAAATAATAATGAGGATATTAACGATTTTTGCTTTCGACGCTTTGAAAATGGCGCGAGTGTTTCAGAGATCGACTTTAAGATTCGATATCGAGAGTTGAATTTCGATACTAAATCAAGGTTATTTTGCATTTCTCGTGGAAGACGTCAGTCGTCAGAATGACAGGTTAGAATTCTCGTGGGATTTGTCGACAAATAATCCACTGGATCATGGATAATTAATCATCAACGATGACGTACGATTTATTTTCGTCCTGTTATCAAAAAGACAATAACAATACATCACTAGCGCCTCCAAGAGATGATCGTCACCTGCACCGATGTCTCCACACCGACGAATCCTAGACCAGTTGCTTGCAGTAAATAATTTTATTATCCCTGATATTAAAAAATTCACTGGACTAGGGTTATGATAAAAAAATGAGTGACGACAACCTTGAGAGTGCAAAAAAGGCAGCGAGAAAGGCTGTGGAGTTTGATAATTTGGAGCAGTACAAAAAAGCACTTTGTTATTACGACGTCGCAGCTAGATTGCTGGATAAGATATCCCCGACGAGTTCCCCAGGTCAATCCACCAGGAGTAAAGCAAGTGAATACCGAGAACGAATATCGATCCTAGAATCGTCGATCAAAGAGATTGAGGGAAGCCAGAGTCCAACAGTCGACACAAATCTCCAGAGAGTGAAATTTCTTATTAGAGAGGCTCTCGATGCCGACGGAGATGGTTGGAAGGATGTGGCAGTGCTGCTGTACGCAGATGCAGCCCAGCTGGCACTGGACACGAAAAAATCGACGAAAGACGCCTCAAAGCAGGAGCAACTGACGAATTTGAGTTCGAGAGCGATATCACGAGCAGAATCTCTCTCAGGAATCACAAGATTTTCTCCCCAGTCCCTGCTGTCGTCCCTTCCACCAGTTCCAGACACCATCCTGGAGTCCCCAGACTCCCCAGAGTCACCAGAATCACCTGAGAGCCACCAGCAGTCAATCCCCTCGAAGAATTCCGTTCCCACGACGCCATCCCCAGGTCCAGCCCCCCAGAACCGATCCCATCCGATTCGTCGGGGCCTCCACCGAGGCAGTAGTGCCCACCTCCAGGTCAGTGGCAGCGACAGCTACACCGAGGAAGAGAAGAAAACCCTTTTGACCACTTCTCACATCAATGATAACGAATTCGTACCCTTCATGAGAGTCGATCTGTCCGAGAAATTCTCATCCCCAGGTGCGTAATCGATTAATAGATCAAATCAAATTGAAAACTCAAATAAATTCAATCCCCAGGTCTCTTCATCGACAGAGACGGCCTCCTGGAGCTCGCCCCAAAGCAGAAGACAGATTTTGCCAGATGGGCACGTCCCAGCCAGTTATTCGACTCTCCGAGACTCGTCCTGGGTTCTCACGTCGATTATTACAGCATAAAACAGACAGTTGTCTCTGATTGTTCGTTCGTGGCATCCCTAGCTGTCAGTGCACAGTACGAGAAACGTCTGGGATATCGATTAATCACATCAATTATTTACCCTCAAAATCGTGCCACCAGGGAGCCAGTGTACAATCCCTCGGGGAAGTACATGGTGAAGCTCCACGTCAATGGTGTACCTCGCAAGGTCATCATCGATGATCTTCTACCAGTGGGTAAGGACAATCAGCTCCTCTGCTCGTACTCCAGCAATCGTGGTGAGCTCTGGATATCTCTCCTGGAGAAGGCGTACATGAAGGTGATGGGTGGTTACGACTTTCCCGGATCCAACAGCAATATTGATCTCCACGCCCTGACCGGGTGGATCCCTGAGAGGTGGGCCATCCGGTCTGACGATCCTGACTTCAACAAAAATGGCCTCTTCAAGACTTTATTGGAGAGAATGCACAAGGGAGAGGTCCTGGTGACAGTTGCAACTGGAGAACTGTCAGACCCAGTGGCAGATAAAACAGGACTTGTCCCGACTCATGCCTACGCCGTTCTGGATGTCCGACTCATCAATAACACGAAACTTCTGCTTTTGAAGAATCCCTGGTCGCACCTCAGGTGGCGGGGGAATTATTCTGAGCATGACGCACATCACTGGACACCAGAGCTCAAGGAACTCCTGAATTATGACCCGGAGTCGGCCTCACAGTATGACAATGGCATCTTCTGGATCGACTACGAGAGCATTTGCCGATTTTTTGATGTATTCTACCTTAATTGGAATCCAAGACTCTTTTCGTACACCTATTGCATACATCAGATGTGGAATGCAGGGACTGGACCTGTCAAGGATGCCTACAATATTGGGGATAATCCGCAGTTCACACTCGAGGTTACATCCAGAATTTCTGGGGCTATTTGGATTCTTCTGACGAGACATATCACGGATATTGCTGATTTTAGACAGAATCAGGAGTACATCACTGTTCTGGTGTACAAGAATAATGGAAAGAGGGTGTACTACCCTCACGATCCACCCCCCTACATCGATGGGGTCAGGATCAACAGCCCCCACTACCTCTCGAAAATTAAACTCGATCCAACCAGTGAATCCAGGTACAACAATTCAATTCAATTGTTTATCTCTCATTTTTTTGTGGACACAAATATTGTCTCGATTAATAATTCAAATAATTATTAATAATTCAAATAAATCAATAACTAATAATTTAATTTTATTTAAAAAATCACAGGTACACTCTTGTAATCTCTCAGTACGAGAAGATGAATACGATTTATTACACCCTGAGGGCGTACGGTACGTGTCAATTTACCTTGAAGAAAATTTCTGATCCGTATAAATTCGAGAAGACCATCAACGATGACGAGTGGAAAGGAAGGACAGCTGGTGGCTGTGCCAATCATCCTGCCACCTACAGCAACAATCCGAGGTATCAGCTGGTGCTTGAGAGTGGAAACAACAATAATCATCTCCTGGTGATCCTGAAGGGGCCCAAGCAGTACCAGATCGGCTTCGAGATAACAGCTGTTGACCTGGGGGATCCCCAGGCACCCACAGCCTTTCAGAGTAAATCATCTGGTCCCTTCAGGTCGGGTTTCGTCTATCTGGAGCTATCCGAGGTCGTCTCTGGGACCTATCACGTCGTTCCTGCGACATTCTTACCCTTCCAGGAAGGGCCCTTTTTCCTTACCTGCAAGAGCTCCTGTGGAATGCAACTCACCAGGATTCAGTGAAGACCTTTTGCACCCAATAAATCCTATAATTTTTTATTCTATAAACTTTTATGGGGTGATAATTAGGTAAATTATGGGTGGAGTAATTTCATTACGGCTGTGCTAGATATTTGGTACTTACAATTATTCCCTCGTCCAATAATTGTAAGCTTTTTTATAAATAATGGATTTTATTCCCTGCGAATAATTCATTATACTAATGCAAGCTCCTGCGTACGATTTAATAATCGATTTAAACACATGCAATGATCCAATATTTTTATTTTTCACCGCCCGTGAGATGCCAGAGATTTTCAGCTGCTGCGCACTGTTATTTTTTAAATAAATTAATGTACAGACTTTAATTAACAATTGTATTATCCAAGAAAAACCGAGAAAGAAGTCCCCAAATTTCTATTACAATTAATAATCATGGATTATTATTAATTATTATTAATCAATTTTTATGTATGCATATATATTTTTATTATTATTATTTATATTTTATTTTATTTATAACATTTTATTAACATTTTATTAATACAAATGCATAAAAATGTTAAATATCGAATTCAAATTTCCAGGTGTTTTCCCGCGCACGAGTTGCAGCGCCAGCAGCGCCAAGATGGTTCCGATTGTTGCCGCAAGATGGCGGATGTGTGACAAAATGGCAGACTCTCCACCTCCAGAGTACGAGGATAATACCCAACAAACTGGAATAGAAATACGTAAAAGAAGTCACACCTCCGCGCATCAGCGCGGAGTCGTGCAGAGCAGCATCTGCAGGTTGTCGTGTTGTCAGTTAGTCTCATGTGAATTTAGTGCTGGTCCCAAGTGTTTTCTGGGCCCAAAGCGAGTAAGAGAGATCGAATAAATCATCAGAATGAGGGAAGCTGGCCTGTCATGGATGAAAATACCGAGAAGAGGATAAATAATTGTGATGTGCCGGTTTGCAGTACGAGGAATAGGCGATGGTTTATTTTATTTCATCACCCAATGATATTCTTGGGAATGCCAGTGTTGGAGTGAACCTCGGGTTCTGCATTCCGTATTTTATTGAGTCTCTGGAATTTGGCATTCTTCGTGGCGGGGGGTGGTTATTTCCCCCAGGTGTTTTTGGAAATTTCATGAAGGGCATCGTCGAGGTCACAGACTGGACTAAAACGGCCAAGGACCAGTGTAATCACCCGGGGCTAGTGAAAAAGGAAAAATGTAAATAAATCCGAGGTGGGGAGTGAGATGATGAATGGACTCGATTATACAATTGTCTGTGACGAATTTTGAGATTGAGAATCAGTGGTTGCCAGTGCGGGCAGTGAATTTCCTGGAAATTTATCGGAATGTAAACACCCAGACATTGCGAAAGAAATATTTACTGTGGGTTACGTGAAAATTGGGTGTACCATACGCTCAGTACGTGAAAATATTTTGTGTGAACGGTTGTTGAAGAGTTTTTCCTTGTTACCCTTTTTCACCTGGGGGTATTCACTTTTTTTTTTTCATTTTTTTTTGTTTCGTGGATTTTTAATGGTGTTGACAGTGAATTAAAATGTGCGATGGGCTGTTGCTCGGATGTTTGTTCAACGTGTGTGATTAAAGGTATACAACGTCAATCGTGTTGTACGTGACGCGATGTCGGGGGGCAACGGCGTGCCGTCACCCCGTGGCGCCGGTACCGAGTGCAGGAAATTTGTTCCTAATATATTCAACAAGAGCAAGTGCAGCAGTTGCTTCAAGCAAAAGGAAGAACACACTGCTGAGGCCTTGGAATCTAATCGGGTGAGTTCACTCGAAAATTTTTACTCGAATTCATTCAGAGAATTCCAGAAAATTCCCACTAGTTTTTCATTATTTAAATTATTATAATAATTGCAATTGCTGTGATTGTTGTAATTGGGATAATTGTTGTAATTATTGTGATTGTTATAATTGTTATAATTTTAAAATTCTGTAATGAAGGGGTAAATTAGAATAAGTGCATTTTTGTCGAGGTCAGTTTTCAGGGAATATCTCCGGATTGAAGGGTCACAGTGAATTTTTCATATGAACGTTTTTTGTAGATACTGATGAGAGCTATGAAAAAGGTATCCATGAAAAAATCGATATCTTCCTTCGATTTCGAGATATTGGGTTAAATTGGTAGTGAAAAAAATGCACTTATCCCAGTTTACCACTTCCTTACATAATTATAACAATTATTACAATTATTACAATTATCAGTGATGTATTAAGATAAGGTGACCTTGAATGGGAATTTCCAGGAATTCTTCGTTGGGCCTCGGTGATTGCAATTATTTTGCTCCACAAAATCGCGATTTGCAATAATTATTATTCAATTTTTTAATTATTGTTAATAATATTGTTAATTTTTAATTAACAAAATAAAAAAATTCTTGCGGGACTTGAACTTACGACCTTGTGGTTCTGACCTGTTGCTCTGAGGATTCAATTTTTTTGGGACTCAGAAGAAATAAAAAAACATGAATTAATCCATTAATTCTCTCAAAAATATTTATTATAAAATAAATAAACACATTTGATTATTCGAATTATTAAATAAACAAAACAGATATTCTTGCAAATATAAATTTGAATCCTGAGGATGCGAATTACGGGTTTTAAAAGGGAGAAATGAATTCGAAAAATTATAAATATTCAGTGAATTTTATTTTTTCATTCTTATCAGCATCGAAAGTGATGTTTTTTTTTTATCAGGATTGGGCGTGTCCCAGTCCTTATTTTTCCCGTGGAATGCGCAAAGTTCAAGGTCACGCGTAGAATTGACGCACGAGCGATTCCACGCGTGCCCTTCGAGGAAAAAATACACTCCATCCCCTAAAAATTATTAAAAAAATTATATAAATTATCCCCCAGTATTTACAATTAAATTTAGACCGAGAAAAATCTGCGTAAAATTCTTATCTCTTATCACTTCGACAGTAAAAAATCCGGGATTCTTTCTCAATTACTGAAATTTACAGTCAAATTACTCTCACTATTTACCACCAGAAGATTTAAGGCTCGGGTGGATTATCTAGAAAAGATAATTTACTCCAAAATTCAGATTCCTAATTACTTTGGTAATTAATGGTTTTTTTTTTAATAATTGTTAGCTAGCGTTCTAGCGGTTGTTATTAACAATTATCGGAAAAAACGATTAATTGACGGAGTAATTAGAAGTCCCAATTTTGGAGTAAATTATCCATTTATTATCATTACATTATTATTATTATTATTATTATTATTATTATTATTATTATTATTATTATTATTATTATTATTATTATTTTTATTATTTTTATTATTTTTATTTTTATTTTTACACTCCATCCGGGCCTTAAACCGAAAATTCACCTGTCCTTTAAAATCCACACCCAAAACTAACTTTCTCATCAGCAATATTAATCTCTTCATCTCCGGTAAAAGTATAAATTCCAGAAAAATTGAATTATTCAAAAAAATAAAGCAAGATAAATGGCACAATTAACTCGAGTCTCGTTAATTAAAATGTCACCGTAGGCGTTGGTTGGCGAGATAAAAAATTAATCGTATGAATGAGAAAAGAATTTGAGGGAAAATTTTGAGTGAGAATCGTGTGCGATCCAGTGAAATAGCTCATCTGTATGTATATGTGTGGATTATCCTATTTGAAAACCAGTTTCTCTCAAATTATCCTGGGGGTTCTAGAAAATCCTGCACGTAGACTATTCATTTATCTGACGTACCCACTGTGAATTTCCGAATGCAGGAATTCCGAGGAATTTCCATCTCTCAACCTAAACATATTATTACATAAATAATTATATTAAATTAACAATACCAATAACAAATTATTCCAACAATTACTCCATCGATTATAATTACGATTAATAATGAAAATTAATTAAGTAATTAATTATCTTAAAAAAATGGGGGTTGTTTCGATTTTTTAAATGGAATTCTGGGTTTTGGTGGGTCGACCTGACTTTTTTTTTTGGGGATGGACCTGAAATGATAAAATTTGGTGAATCGATTATAATTACGATTAATAATGACAATTAATTAAGTAATTAATTATCTTAAAAAAATGGGGGTTGTTTCGTTTTTTTAAATGGAATTCTGGGTTTTGGTGGGTCGACCTGACTTTTTTTTTTGGGGATTGACCTGAAATGATAAAATTTGGTGAACTAGCGTATATGGCGCGCTATGCGCGCCAAATCGTCCACGTATGGGGTGTTATCATTGGAATATATATATATTTATATGTTTCCAAGGTAATATATACATATATAGAATTTCAAAAAGAAGATAGAAGATAGGCGAACAGGACAGAAATTGGACAAACATCAATCTGAAGATATCCAAACCGATGAAGAAGTGTCTTATTTGGAAGGAAAACAGACTTATCTAAAAACCTGGAAAAAGATAGTATTAAATAAAGAAAATACGGGAAAGATTGATAAGAACATAGGAGAGAATGCGAAGGAACGTCAAAAAAAAGTTAGAGACGTGAAAAGAAGAAAGGAAATTGAGTATGAAGAACATTTAAAAGAACTTAAACGTATTAAAATGCGAAAAAAAACAACAAAGTTACAAAAATAATTAAAAAAAAAAAACCAACAGTAGAAAAAAATGTAATCAAAAATAAAAAAATGAGGAAGAAAATAGAAGCAAATCGAACTCCAACATCGTTTACAACATTTCCAAAAGCATTAAAGATATTACTGGAAGGAGACGATCATCAATGCAGACAATTTTACAGACAATACCAGAGTTTACAACAATGCATTATGGTTTGCATCATTCAATGCCAACTTAGTGAATTTCGATAGACAACGATCTGGGTAATACTATTTCAAAATTCAAGGGCAAATTTATCATCAGATTAACACATCGTTATATCCTTCTCAGGATGAAATTCCAAGTTATGGTCAATTATTTATTTCGGATCCTGATGAGGCAAATGAATGTCGACTCACTACTTTTTCTGGACTCAGTACTATAACTACTAGCCAAAGACCAAAGGCCACTAGGCCACCAAAGGCCACTAGAACTACTAGCCAAAGTTGATAGTATTGTCAGAAAACATAACATTTTCGCAAAATCGTATTCCATGATGAAAGAACTGGTTGTTTCTGAGCAGAAAAATTGTTGAGAAAAAGGCTCATCAATGCCCGAAATGAAAATGATTTTTAATATTAAATCATGGGAAGAGAGACATAGATATAATCCATAACGAATAAATGAAGCCGCTGCCATATTTACAACATCAGTTGACGGAGAAATACCAGAATCGTATCTGACTATGCAAAATAAAGACACAAAAGAATTGAAATTTGTTAGTTCTTTAGATTTCAATATTGATCATTGGGTTTATCCCTTATTTTATCCATCCGGAACTGATGGATATGATAGTTCTGAACTTCATTTAAATACGCCAAAACGTATTTCTAGGAGTGAATCAGTTAGAAATAATATTACCATACGTGGTAAATTCAATCCGTTCTTAGGGGAAAAGAAATTGTTCCAACAATATGTTGTTCTTATTTATGTAAAAGTTGAAAGAGATCGTACGACTTATCTTAGGAACGAGCAAAAAAAAATTCGATGCGATAGTTATCAAAGTGTTTTAGATCATCTACAAAGCAAAGCCAATGAAGATAATATTGGTATTGGTAGAGTAGTTATTTTGCCATCGACATTTATCGGATCACCATCACCTATTACCACTGAAGTGACGTATTTGCTTAGCACGAGGTTGACTCACAGTCAATGGAAAAATAGGAACAATTTAATTACAGATAGGTACTGTTCTCTCAGGGTGGCGAATAATGCAGAAATTATTGTTGGAATTTTAGGGAAGCGCTCCGAATTTATTCTCGTTAATTCAGGACACTTAATGATTATTGTATTGTAATTGATTGTGTAAGTATTGCGGACTTTAATAGCGCATGCGTTTCGAATATATTATCTCTGTCGCGCATGCCCGATTAAATAGGATTGGTGATGATGTCGTTGTCATCCCCCCCAACCATCTGGCATCGCCGCGTTACCTACCTGTTGCAAATTTTCACATGCGGCGAAAATCACTTCCTTTGTGGTGGACTTTCGAGGTGAACCTGTTTGGAAATTTCCGTGTTCAGGGGCGCTATTCATTTTGGTGGTGACCAATTTTTGCTAATCATTATTTTGTTTATTGTGGGCAGAGATTATAATATGTATTATTTGGTGTTACGTACACCGGAGCCCTGTAGGACTGGTAGAGTAATTATTTTATCAGGGAATCTCTGGGCACTCGAATCAGTGAATTTTGCAACTCTCTCTCTCTCAAGTAATTTGTTTGAATTAATTTTATTACATTAATATATATATTTTTTTTTGGTTTTTAACTGGCTAGTTTCACATTATAAAAAACCTCGCGATTGAATTTAATTTAATTTAGTAGCATTGGAGGTCTCCTGACTTCGCGGTGATATTTGTCTCTAGTTTTGTATTTATCAATGTATTTCTGAGAATCCGAGGTTACGTAGACTTATTGATTTTCGCGTTATTGTTTCGAGTCATTAAATTATTCGGATACTTTCATGTGAAATATTTCTGATTAAAATGTTGACTTTTCCAACTATCGACAATTGAGTCTCGTGACTCAGTTGTTTAGTGTTTCATAAATTTGACATACTTGAATAAATAAGTAATTATTTATTCATTTATTTATTTTTTTTTGTATCGAGAATTTATATTGATTAAAAATTGTTCTCCCCGACAATTCCAGAATTTTATTATTTGTTTATTGTGTCAAT